AAAATTGCATTTGAATAAAAATAAAAAATTCTTACAATTTAACTTTGTGGGAATTTTTAATTATTCAAAATGTTTTAAAAATAAAATAGTTCTCATTTTTATTGAAAAATTATTGCCATTACCCATGTGTTAGAATAAGAAGCTATTTTTCTATAATTTTGTTTTTGATGATGACTTCCTTTTATAAATCATAATTGAAAAAAATTTAATTGGAGTCCGGTTATAATTTTATAAATATATACACCGTCCGACACAATTTTTGACCCACAAAAAAATTTAACATTTTCGGAAACTAGGACCGAAAAAAAATACCCGTATCTGGCCGTTTTGCTAGATCAAGTCGTTTGTGGTTTTTAGGGATGAAAACCTCCAGATACCAAGTTTTATAAAATATTAATAATTTTTAAAAGATATCTTATCACTTTTTATTTAGAGGCTGTTTTCATCCCTAAAAACCACAAATGACTTGATCTATAGCAAAACGGTCAGAAACGGGTTTTTTTTTTTTTTGATCCTAGTTTCCAAAAATGTTGGATTTTTTTTGTGGTTTAATAAAAAAAGTTGAATTTTGTCGGACGGTGATATAGACTGTCTTCTAAATCATTTTAATATTACTTCCGTTTCCAATAATATTAAGTAACATTACTGTTACATCCCTTTAAAAATAATACGAGATCTATTTATAAGAAAAGTGTTACATAACACTTCATATTATTTCACAAAATCGAATAATAATGAAAAAAACAGATGTTTCAAGATATTTTTTTTTTTTTTTTGTGTGAATAAATGTCAAATATTTCAATTAATATATTTAATATTTGATCAACAAAATAATAAAATTTCATTTTTCTATGATATTTTTTTCATATAAATTGAAAATATTTCTAATTTTCAAAGATAATGAAAAATTTCGAAAACAATTATTTAGAGTGTATATAGTGCAAAAGTCTATCTCCTTTATCCGCAGGATCGTGAGACGAGGAAAGGAACAATAATGCAAACTTGGTGGAATTCGTTGAAGTGAGAGAGAGATGGAAAATGGTATCAAGAGAGAAATGGAAGTCTATACATATAAAACGTCGACAGGTCGTGTGATACCCAGTTACGTCACAGACGGAACAACTGGTTGCTGATGGTGGAAGAGGATAGGAAAGGTTTGGTGAGAGAGAGTGAGAGAGAGAGTGAGTGAAGGGGGTTGGGGGTGGGTGTTAGGGGGATTAAGGGAGGAGGGGGGGACACAACGATAGGGGAATTCCGGAGATCACGGGGCAGTGTGGGGTTTACTCTCTCCAGAGAGAGAGAAAGACAGTCACTCACTATACATGAGTAAGAGAGAGAGTCCAAATGGTGGCAGTGCCGAGGGGGTGTGCTGAGGGGGACACACTGAGGGAGAAGGAGGAAGGAGGGTGATATATACAAAACGCAAGGTCACGAGTGCGGCTATAGGTTGGGTATCTCTGTAAACACGTAGTGACGTAGCACGTGCCATAGTGTGGTAAAAGGGGGGAAAAGAGGGTGGGACACCTCTCTTCCTCCTCCCTTTACCCCCTTCATTCCCCCCCGCGGACCACCGCGTTGCTCCCGTGCCCTTTCTATCCCTCCACATGTCTGACCCACTGACTCCTTTTACTTCGACCCCTTTCCTTTCCGCATCCAGGACCAAAATTGGAAAGAGGGCTTTTATTGCTATTGATTCCTTCGCATGGAGATAGAGAGAGAGAGAGAGAAAGACTTGCTAAGATTGAGATGTTACTCCAAAGGAAGAGGATCCTTCCTCCACGAACAGGTGTACACGCTTTATTTTTATTATCATTTTCAAACAATTCCTTTGAGTCTGAATTTATTTTTCAATTTCTTTTCATAACAATTTTTGGCTAACGAAATTTCCCGATAATTAGATACAGTAATACCGCGTTTGATTTAACAAGGAAATAAAATTAACGAAACAGTGGATCAAATTTCTCGGAAAGGGAACTTATCAATTTTTTTTTTGTAATCAACTGCAGGAAAAGATAAGGGGAACAATGTTCACTAGAATCTATGGTAAAGTCATTGAACGAAATCAGTTATAGATATCTCGAATTATTCGAAGAGAATGTTTTCTCTAAACTTTGAGGTTCCACTGTACTATTAGCCAAATACAAAAGCTTAAAAGAAAAATTTGAAAAAAGTCAATTAAAAATTTAAAATAAAATATATAAAACGGAAGTAATATAACAAAATTTCAATTTGAAAAAAAATATTCTTTAAATTAATTACCTTCACAATTATTTTTTTCATTTACCACTAAATTTTCTAACAATAGAAAAACTTTTCATAATTGCAATTTTTTTTTGCTTAATTATTATAAGCCGCTATAGCCTAATTTAGTTACGACACTAAAGAAGTAAAAGTTGAAGATTATCCTTTGAATTTTTTTTCCCGAAGAAGCTTTTGTAGTAAGAACCCTTTTTATATATACAATTTCTTTTATCTCAGAAAATAATAATAAAAATATATATATATATATATATGTCTACCAAAAAAAGATATTCGACGCTTTATTCGTTAGAATTATTTCATTAAGATTTTTTTATTACAAAGAAAAATATATGTTGCTTTTCTTTGTTACCTATTTTTTTAAGTTTCATTACACGATAGTTACACAAAATATATTCTTCTATTTTTATTATTTATTTTTAAAATATTTATAAATATGCTAAAAAAAAAAAAAAATTCTAAAACCTCTTTTTTTGTTTTCCGAACAACACTTATCACTAATTTATAAGTCTCTCTCACTAAATATATTCAAAATAATTCCGTATTCCTTGTAACACGTTTACGAATGAAAATTGTTTTAAATATTAATCAGCGCGTTCTGCAGGAAATTAGATGCCACGTAAACTGGTTCAGGTTTATTTAAAATGGTCTTTTTTTTCAAAAACAGAAAAAAAAAACTTTTGGAAAAAACAAAAAATAATTTATAAAAAAATAAAGAAAAATTTTACTTTAAATATTTTCTGAATTATTTTGACATCTATTTTTAAAACGTTGATTAATAAACAAATAAATAACTGCAGAAGTATTTAAAATAAAATAAAAAATTACCAAAAGAAACAATTGTGGAAAATAAGTCAACAAATTGTTGAATGTTTTTTTTTTTCAAAAGAACAAAAAAAAAACGCTGTATCCCCCCATAGAGGGGGGGGGGATAAAAAAAAACGGGAGATAAAAAAAAACCTAGGGACAAGAATTTAGTGAGATCGATGATGGAAAAAATTCGATCATTAATCGTCAGAAGAGATTGGATTTATCCCTGTGGAAGGTTTGCGTCGTGGGGTTTCTGATTTTTATTCCTGTCTCTCTAATATATATTCCATTGAAGGGGCCTGTAGGGCTGGCTGGATAGAGCCAGGGTCTCTCTCTCTTTCTCTCTCTTGAGGGTCAGAACTCCCTTTGTCGTTCTTTCAAAACCCTGGGTAGGTACCTCGCTCTCTCTATATACCTATATATATATATACAAAGAGAGAGAGAGAGAGACAGATGTATAGCATAAACGCTGCTGTTGCGATCAGCCAGGCAGCTGGCACAAGCATGCTTTTTCAAAGTTCCCCTTGGCCTTAACGATCCAGTCGGGTACGTCCTCGTTTGCTATCGTGTATAGGGCGTAGGCTGCAGGAGAACCAGACGAGGGTCGAAAATCCCACAGGGGGATTATATATTTTCCTTTTCCCAGGTAACGCTTCACGGTTTTAACTATATATATATATATACGGCCTTTCCGCATTCTTTGATGAACACAAGATGATCCCTCCTGTAGAACCAAAATTCTCTCTAAAATTTAACATCTTCATTACTATATAAACAATTTAAAATTATTTTCATTACAAAAAATAATAATTTTTTTAAATTAAAAAAAATTTATAAAATTATAATAGAAATTTTATGGAAATTTATTTTTCAATTTTTCCCGATAATTAAAACATTATTAGTCATTAACGGGGGGAAAAAAGAAAGCAGGAAGGAGTATTAAAGTTATTACTGTATAGTGCCTCGTTAGGTCGAAACCTCTATAAGCCGAAGTGAATGCTTCCTTCCCTTCTCTTTTTATTTTACGAAACCCTCTCTCTCTCTATATATATAAGTCGTTTTCGACTTTTTAAAGTATTCCCCTTGAAGTCCGACTTATTGAAACTCCACTGTATTAATAATTAAGAATCGGAAAATATAAAGTATAAAAAAAATTGGAAAATATTTTTGCTTTTTATTTGAAAAATTTTTAATTCTCCCTTTTTGAGATAATAGCAAGTAAACCAATTTATTATAACAAGAGCTTTCGATATATTTTTTTTTTTCATCAGAGAGGGAACATTTCCTCTTTTAATTACAGGGAAAAGGTTTTTATTTTTTTTAATTTTGAAAATGGGTCTGCGTGATAATATAATAATGCTTATCAGTTTATCAAGCTATATATACACGCACGAACATTATCGATCACAGGCGAGAAGGGGACTAAATTCAAAATATCCCCAGTAGTAGTAGCAGCAGCAGTGGCTCTCGATCAAGAGCAAAGCCAGAAGGGGTCTCTCTCTCTCTCTTTCCAAATATTGACGTGCCAGTAAAGAGCAGACAAATAGAGGCAAAAACTATTTTCAAGCCAGAAAGATGGTCGATAACAGCTGTCTCTCTGATAACTATAGTTGCTTTCCATCCAGGATATTTCGCTGTTTTTTTTCCTTCTTTTTTTTAAGACACATGAGGAAACACTGTCTGTCTATATATCACCGTTTTGCGTTCTCTATCTCTCTTGCTCCCTTTGGGGGTTCAACGATGTCGCTTCCAGTGAACCCATTGATAATGTATGGCGATATCGATCCTACCATGGCGATGTGCAGTGGATTATAGCAAGGGGGTTTTGCCGAGCGCTTCCACGTATTATTTAACTTCGTTCCCGGTTCTATAGCTTCGTTTTTTTTTTTTTTTTTTTTTCATAACCGCTATAATAATATTCGATTATTTAAAAAAAAATCACTTTTTCAATATAAAAAATTTACTATTCTCTCTCTTGTGGAATTAAGAATTCTCTTTGAAAAATTATCGTCTCGATAAGAAAGTTTACGGGAAATATTTTTTATAGAGGAATGCCAATGGGTTTTTGCGAGTCGGGTCATAAATTACTTATCTCTCGAGACCGACACACGTGGAAGCTGTATCCAAAAGAAAAAAAAAAAAGTGGGAGCGAAGAGAGAGAGAGATGGTTTTTGCGCCAATATCAGAGAAAGAAGGAGAGACAATCAGAGTGTAAAAGCGGCGTGCGAATATTTGTATGTATGCACCACAAACGCACAAACTGACACACAGGTGGCCCCCCCTTGTGCGTGATTGTGTACGTACAGCTTGCATACATAGACACCATTGACCGGGATATCGTCTGTCCTGAGATGAATGAACCGTTACGTCACGCACTTGTACTCTGAGTTCCCCTCGACCCCCCTCGTCGTCATCTTCCTCTTTCCCCATCGCCTCCAACCTCCACCTCCTCCACAACTCTCCTCCCCCTTCACTCCTCTTTTCTCGACGTGCTCGCATTATATTATGTAGTGGTGTACCATACCAGCCTCCTTCCTTCCTTCCTTCCATCGATTAGCAAGGGCATTCCACGGCCGCTATAGTTTCCGACAAGGGTCAATGTATTCACAGTCCGCAGACGGCTGCGATAAACTGTGGGAGGAGGACAATTGTTTCGTTGTGCACTACTGGTACACATTTCATTGGATTATCCAAATATTCACCTCTCCTTGACTTTCATTCTTTGTGGTCCAGCTTTTCGTCTCCCTCTTTCTCTCTATCTCTATCTCTCTCTCTCTTTGCTCTTTTCTGCCAAAAGAGGGGAATTGAATAGTTGTCGGTGTAAAAATAAGCTGTATGACAGACTCAAGTCAACAGGTGTCATTGTGTTGAATGGTTCCTCAAAACCACAAGGTGATTTATTATATCACTGATACCTTAGATTCAAAAAGTTCCACATATTAAAAACCAATTCTCCTGATATCATTGTTTAATTATTTACTTCGAACAACTTTGATAAGAGTATTTTTTTTGTAAACAGAAAAATTTAACTATTTATTATCATAATTATAAAAATCAAAGTCAATTAAAATAATAATTATACATGCAAAGTTTAATTTGATTCGTAAATAAAACTCTGCAGTATCGTTGTAGAAAAATAACCTTAGAATTGACGAGAAACATCAAAAGTCTCAAAATTATTTTTCATTAAAATATAAAATTATGTACAATTCGTACAAGACTTTAGATAACAATAATATTCACCTGTTTACGATTTGGTCCTTTGTTGAATATTGTTCTTTAAAGAGATTAGCCCTCGATCATGGTTTCCCTTGGTTCTCGTCCAGTTTCTTTGAGATTAGGATATAATTTCGCCTTCAAGCTTCCATCGTCATTCTGCCTACCACAAAATTCAGGAGTCTTATTCTTGGGAGCACTTCTCTGTAACCAGATATCCAAAAGACTTTTCTGTCCATACAATCCTTTTTGCAATTTTACAGGTGCCGTTGAAACAGGTGGCGGTGACATTGGTGAATCTGTCGTTGCTCGAATAACCGTTGATCGTACATTTGGCTCCTCTTTTCCCAGTCTAGATAAAAAGAAAAGTTAAAAAAAATAGAATAGTAAAAAAAAAGTAAAGTTATAATAGAGAAAAGAAACAAGTTTCATTAATCAACTTTAAGTTGCCATTTCTGAATATAAACTTACCCGTCCAATTCACGTAATGCCTGATCCAATTCCACTTTATCTTTGTCATCCTTATTTCGAACTTCGAGCAAACAATTGAAAACTTCGTTGTGAGCAGGTGAATTATTTGCATGTCCCTTTAAAAATGTTTCGAGTTCAGTGAATAAAAGACGATAATGTTCTTCACGTCGCACTCCACCTTTTCCCCCTCGGCCACCGCCAATACTTGGTAATGGTAATGATTCATGTTTCGCTTCCAATTGAAGTAATCCAAATATAATTTGTTTACATTGCAATACTTCATCTTTCGTTAATTCATCTTTGACAATTAAATCCGGCAATGGATCCACAACCTGTAAATATATTCATTTTTCTTGAATGAAATTCGATGAAATAAAAAAAAATTGCAATTTTTTTTTCTCCCTTACCTGCTTTAAATTAAACATCAAAGTATTGGAAATAGTAACTGGCCAATATTTCGTGTGTCTTTCTAATCTTGCTCTCATTTTCTCTGCTGGACCATCGATATCAACAGAAGTTCGTTTTAGAGGTACGAGCATATTATTTCGCATTAGAGTTCCAAAGTCCTAAAATTAAATTTAAATTAAATTTAAATTGTGGAATTAAATTTATAGATTTTATTTACCGTTATTCTATAATCAGTTACTCTTCCACCGCAACCTTCACTAATTGATGGAGGATCTTCCAAGACACTTCTCGATGTTGAAAGTGTATGAATAAATATTTCACCACCATGAGCGGCAAGTAGATGCGATATTGATTTGCCACCACTTTTTCGCACCATTTCCAACATTACCGATCGACCGTTTAATAAAAAATTAATAAGACATGATGAAGGTCTGCTATTTACATCAACTGGTGTAATTCTATGCATTGCTGTACAATTTTGCATCTCTAATGCACTACAACCTCTGGGCGTGCACCATTTTAAAGTTATTGTTTCATATTCAGATCCTCCTTCAAATCTTCGGAAAATTTTCATTAAAGCTGTATCTTGAGGATTTCCTGCATGAATAATTTTATTAATATAATTTTTCTATTCCCATAAAATATTGTAATTTAAACTTATGATACAAGAAAGTTATTTTTATATAGTATATATAAAAAAAGTGTACCTTTTAGAATTGCAGTGTGTGCAGCAGATGCATGAAAAATTTCAACATCATAATTTGCAGAAGAACTTGCATTTTGTTCCTCTTTCATAGGAATTCCTGTAACTGTTGTACTTGCCAAATCGTAATGTGATAGAATTAAATGAGATAATTTACAATGTAAACTTGGAGCTTTCATGGCGTGAACTTCCATTGTTAAAAGAGGTGAAACCTAAAATAATAAAATTTAATTACTATTATAAAATAAAATCATCCAATTAGTCAAAATTTACCTCTCTTGGACTTTGACTAGTAACTTGAGATTCTACATTGTTTGGAAATATATTAAGAATAACCAAATGACAATGATTTATCGGTATTAATCTGAAAAAATAATTTTTTTTTTTTTATCAATTTTATTCGAAATATCTCGATATATGATAAAAATATTTTATACCTATCGGAAGACAAGGCAATTTTATTTTGCTGTGCCAATTCATTGAGAAAAATATTTTCTAAACTTTTCATATTAATATTGTCCCTAGCACTGGTAATACAAATCACTCTTCCTCTATTTAAAAGTTTATTTGCATTCTCATTTAATGCAGATCGTTTTTCCTGTTGAATTTCTGATGATTCAGTTAAAGCCTCAATTGCAACTCTTAAACCATGAATAACTGAAAAATCAGCTCCTGGTTGATGAGTTCTAGGCGGTACACCTATTATAGCCATACCATTCATAATCTGAAAATTATTTAAATTACTCATTAGTAATATAAAATTTTAATAAAGAACAATTTTTTTTATTTTTTAAAAATAAAATTTTACATGTGAAAGATTTTGTTGCAAAGGACTCCAAGTATTTAAAATATGTGCTGCATGATCGCTCACAACGAATCTGACCTATAATTTTTGAAATTAATTTTTTTTTTTAATTAAAATAATAATATTCTATATTTTAAAATAATTGAAATAAAAATATACCAATTTTCCAGTGGGAAATAAATCCCATACAATTCTGCAATATTCCATAGAAGATTCTACACTTGTTGTCCATAGTGATTTACAAATTGGTGCCAAAGGAATAAGATTTTGACCTCTACTTTTTAAACAATCAAAATCTAATGGACTTTCAGTTGAAATACCAAAATATGGTGTGTGATCTAACACAAAAACTGTTTTATGATTTGCAGGATACATTTTTATTATAACATTATATGTATACCCGCTTTTTCAAAAACTTAATACGTCAAATTTCTTTTCAGGTTATGTTTGACTGTTGAAATAAATAATTTCATATTTTGCAAACCGTTGTTTTCCACTTCATGTTTTTTTTTATTTCTAAGACTTTAATAGATTTTATAAAAGTTTAAAGGCTTAAAAAATCTACAACAAAATATACATTTGCATAAATAAAAAAGTATATAAAACAAATAAACAAACTCGACAAAATTTTGTGTGTCAATGTTTTGATTTTGACTTTAGTAGTTGTTCATATCGGAAATGCTATTTCTATTTTTTTCGAAAAGAGATAAATAACATGAATAGGAAAAATAAATAAATAGTAAATAAATTTATAAAAATTAACAATTTTTTTTTATAATTATTTTAACTGTTTAAATAGGATTCTAAAATTATTCAGTAGCTTTTAATGATACTTTTGAGTTACGTTGATATAGCCTTACATTTCCTGTCATGGTTCATTAATACCAGGTGTGGTTGAAATCGAAATTGTCTCAACCATTTTGAATAAATCAGTATATTGGAGTTATTAGTTTTTAAGAATTTTGTAAAACTTAATATAAATTACTTAATACTTACTCTATAATGTAACAAAGAAATATAAGAATAGTTTTTTCAAATATCATACCTTATTTTCTTTACATTCGTTTCAGCAGCATTTAATTTACGCGCCTTAATTTTCCAAAATGGCGTGATTGGATGTGTGCACAAACCTGCGCGAGGCAACACCTGATTAGTTTCCAGTCCATGTAGACTTCTTTTCCTGTAGGGAATTCTCCTTGTGGCGTCTAAACGTAAGTTTTTCCTATTATTTTTAAAGATATTTCATTAAATATAGAATAAAATAGAAATTGTTTATAATTTAGAAATACAATGGAAAATTATTATTTAAAATATTATATCATTTAGTATAAAATATTTGTATTAACAGTGATTTTTTAACAAATACACTGTGCTCAAGCACGTGGCATGAAAGTCACACGTATGAAGGATTTTAATTAAAATAATGTAACATGTTTTAATTGATTAATATTTTGCAAGTGTTTTGAAAATCATTTGTAAGATAATAGATTTTTTTAAATTTACTTTTATAGGCATATTAACAAATTAATTCGAATATCGAAAGTTAGGTTATGTTGTTTCACATGTTTTTCAAATTTCTTTAAAATTAATACTAATTATTGAACTTTGAAATTATAAATAAAATTGATGTATTTGTATATTTCTACAAGATATTAATAACTTGTTTTTTTTAAATTATTTAAAATTTCAGGTTAACTCGTAATTCAACCATAACGTTAAAATGTCTGGAGATATTGAAGCATTAGCTCTTAAGGAGGATGATGTTACTAAAATGTTGGTCGCCGGTACCCATTTGGGTCACGAAAATGTCAATTTTCAGATGGAACAATATGTTTTCAAGCGCCGTGTAGATGGTAATTAAATTTTTTTTAATTTTTCTAATCATTCTTCCAGATATTTTTTTTGATTTAAAGTTTACATATATTTATCAATTCTAGGCACTGGAATTAACATTATTAATTTGAGAAGAACATGGGAGAAACTTCTATTGGCTGCACGAGCTATTGTTGCTATTGAACATCCAAGTGACGTCTTCGTCATCAGTTGCAAGCTCTATGGTCAAAGAGCCGTCTTGAAATACGCCAATCATACTGGTGCAACACCCATTGCTGGACGTTTCACTCCCGGTGCATTTACAAATCAAATTCAGGTATTTATCATATTTTCTTTATAAAAAATTGAATCGATCATTTTAAAAACAGTTAAATGAAGAAACTCTTTTTGTCTAGAATGCAAATCTGTTGGCAAAAAATGGCTTAATCTTTTCTGATATAAATTTAACTAATTCTTAAAAAGTATGAGAAATAATTTATTTTCAATTAATAATATGAATGAATTTTTTAAGGCTGCTTTCAGAGAACCACGTCTTTTGATTGTTACTGATCCAGCAACAGATCATCAACCCATCACTGAATCCAGTTACGTTAACATTCCCGTTATCGCTTTCTGTAACACCGATTCACCATTGCGATTTGTTGACATTGCAATTCCATGCAACAACAGAAGTTCCAACAGCATTGGTCTCATGTGGTGGCTTTTGGCTCGTGAAGTACTTCGTCTTCGTGGTTCCATTCCACGTGAAACCAAATGGGATGTTGTTGTTGATTTGTTCTTCTACAGAGATCCAGAGGAGGTAAGAGAGATTTTTTTAAAATCGAGAATTGAATTTTTAAATTTGTAACAATGAATTCTAATACATGATGACAAATCAATGTCCAGAATATATATATCTGTTGGTACATATGGCTTAATCTTTTCTGAAATTGAATTTTTCTACTTGCTGTGCAAATTTAATTTAAAGGAATGAAATTTTAATTTTTTATTACTTGATAATGTAAAATATAGGCTGAGAAAGAAGAACAAGCGGCTAAGGAAGTCACAGGACCAGCACCAAAAGAATTTACAGCTGCTGAACCAATTGCTTCAGAAGGTTGGGGAAATGATGTTGATACTAATCCAGCAGTAACTGAAAGTTGGGCTGATGATGGTGCTCCAGCTGCTCCTGCCCCTGCTGCAGCGGCCGCTGCACCAGCAGCACCTTTTGCCGCCACCGGTGAATGGGCTTCACAGGTAATTTTAAATTTCATAAAAATATTTTCCTTCAATTTTTATTTCGAGATAAATTCCTTTTGGAAATAAAGATTTGAAATAAACAATTTATTAATTCTCCAGGTTCCTGGACAAGATGAATGGACTCCAGCTCAACCACAGGCTCCAGTAAGCAGCTGGGGAGGTGGTTCCACTGACAAGTGGTAATTATACATTCTTTGCGAGGTATAAAACTTTTTATTACGATCGAATCTTGTAAAGAAGAAGAAGTTAATAAAAAAAAAGAAAAACACAGAAAAGCCTTAATTTCTTTTTTATTACGTTTTTACTTCTATCACACAATAAGATTCATGATTTTTACGCAGTCTAAAACTATATAAAAAAAAAATACTATACAAATTAGTTCTAAGCCTAAAAATAAAGTATAAAAAAAATTAGCCTTTCAAAAGGCTTCACTGACATTTTTTTTTCCTGAAAAATTTGGTAATGTTAAGTATAATTATTATCATCAAATGGTTGACCATGAACCTTGAATCTATAGACGCAAGTGTATTCAGGATTGCCCCAATTTGAATGTATTTCTAATTGTATTCGCTTGAAAGGAAATTGACTTATTTCGCTATTCTGAAAAATATTGAAAATGAATTTAAAATTTAAATTAATAACTAATTTTTAATAGAAAACTATTACCTTGACAGAAAAAGTTTGAGATGGTGATCCATTGATGTTATAAGTAAAAGAATCGAGATTAACGAATTCATTTTGAATGTGTCCCTGGATAGCGAAAAAAAAATGTGAATTTCAAAAAATAATTAAAATTTTTTGAATATAAAGTTTTAATTTGACTTACATAAATGCTAAACATTTTTGGTGCTGCATCAATTGATCCTGTTATGGATGCAGATACGGGGATATTTTCCAATGTTACGTGACTAATTATTGCAGCACGTGCCAATTCAATGATAAATTTTCCACAGGATCCTTTGAAAGCCCAACATTCACCAGCTTCAGTCCATGGCTAAATGGTAATTTAAAATTAATTTATGTAATTAATTGAAATTTTGTTATTTCCAATAATTTACCTGTATTATTTTTCGTGGAGTGTGATAAATTGGTTTCCAAAGAGGAATTCCAAAAAAAGTAAGTGTAACAGAATGATATGTTTCCGTGTCTGGTGTATCTATTACACATCCACCAACTGCTTCTGCCGCGAAATCTGCCATTTCATTATATTCTAAAACAATTGTTTACATGTTTTTATTTTTTCTAAAAGTTTTTTTTTTCTTCATACAGTTGAAATCGTAAAATGATTCATTTACCTTTATGCCCACAAGGATAAAATCTACCTAAATGAAGTCTCTGAAAGAAAATTAATTTTATAACAAATATAAAAGAATGTTATAAAGTTGAAAATTTCAATATTACCAATTTTTGAAGCATTTTTTCTAGACTAAAAGTTTTTGTTTTCAAACGAAGAAGCTCTTTCTCCATGGGAGATGAACATAATTTTGGTACATCTAGAATATCGGAATATTTGCAATTATCATGTTTTTTGCAATCAAATTTTTCTGCAAACGGTAGCATCTCGTCCTTTACATTTAAAAATGCATATATAAAAAGTAAACCTAGAGATGTATAAATTTTAATTTGGTATTTTTTTTCAGACTAACAAGAATTTTATTGAAAAAAATAATATATTAAATTACCTGCACCAAGTGCCATTAAAAGTAATATTTTTAAAACAGGGCGCATCCATTTAAAAAAGAAATAAAGCAACTTTCTCATTCTAAGTAAAAGCCATAATTCTAATATTAGAATTCCATGTCTTATCCTGCACATAACTAAAAAGCATAATAAATCAAATATATTATTAAAATTATAAACTTAACCTTACATTTTAAAAATTTTATGTTTCTAATATATGTTGAAGTATTTTATTAACTCTTGATTTAACATATAGTAATTTTTTCAAACATAATAATATCCTGTTGTATAAAATAAAAAGAAAAAATCTAAATAATAAAATTGAGAATATTACCTAAGATGTCCTTTATAATTCTACGTTTGACACTTATTGATAATGAATATTATCAAATGCATATTACATTATTTCAATTAATAAAGTTATCTTCATTTATAATTCTATAAAAAAGTAAAATAATAAGCGAATATTTTTCTAAATTTACTTGATTATACAAGTTAACCCAAAAGCTGTCAAATTTGTTTTAAATTTGTCAGTTAAATTACGCCCTCTACAATTTTATTATTGGTCGGTAATGTAGCATTAATTATTTACAATCCTCAGTCGATAAAAGAATGTCAAAATTTTTGGCCGTATTTATTTGCAAAAAAAAAAATTATTACCTATAATTATACTTATTAAATTAAATTGAAGAAAAAATAATACCATAATCCCTATGATATATTAAATTTGCTTTGATAAGTGTCGATAGTACAGAAATTGCTCAGCTGTAAACGTTTATACGTCATATTTTAATAGCGCTTATTTATTATAAAATAACAAATAATTGTGTAAGTTTTGTAAATTGCAGATTATTCTAGAAACTATCTTTAATAATAGATAATGTCATGTAACACATGTCAATCAAAATTTTCATTATTTCTACGAGAGGTAAGAACATTTTTGACATTTATGATAATAGAGGTTAGAAGGTCACATTCATATTTTTCTCATTTATTTAATAGTATAATAAAATTATATTAGTATAGTTCTATCTAATTAATATATTTTCAAAATTTACAAATTTTCTAAAGAACTTATTTTCATTCCTAGAATTTCTATAGTGTGTAATGTCAACTACTGTTTGTTATTCAACCTTTGTTTTGATATTTGAAGACAATGATTCAAAATATTTTTTCAGAAAGCTTGCCCTAACTGTGGCTTTTCATATTGTAGTAAGTGCCTGAAGTATAAATGTGAAGTTCCTAAAGTCGGATTAAAGAAAGTCTGTGGTCCATGTTTTAGTAAAAAAATGGATACAAATACTGAAGATAATAATTCAACGAATCTACATACAATTATGGATCAAAATAATGAACCTCTAGCTCCTGTGGATATCACAAACAAGTAATAATTGTCAAATAACTCTTATATAAATATAACGAATTTGAATTTAAAATTTCCATTCTATAAAATTAGTATTACTTCTAATAAAATTGCTTTTTATTGATAGTAAATTCTAAATTTGATATTGAAAATGATGTAATATTTTTTCTTTGTATTTATTACATTACTTTTTTATTAATTTATTATTATATAAATATTTACAAGTAAAATAAATCATATTCTATGATTTTCATCTAAATTATAACTTTTATTTTGCTAAACATTTATCTTGATAAAAATTTTTTTTTTCATATTACCATTTGAATTTATTTATTTTAAAATAAAGTGAAATTTTTTTTAAAAACAGATTGGATTCTTTGGAAAATCCAGCAAAACCACCAATAGTTATGTACGCACATGGAAAACATTGGGACAAATTGAAAATTGGTTTAGAGCCAGCAGATCAAGAAATTGTTGATCGCTTGAGAAAATTGAAAGATGAAGATGGTAAAACTTCACCTCCTAGTGTTGAAGATATTAAACGAAGATTGGCTTTGTTGAAAGATCAAAATCCTGACGTTTCTCATAAACCAATGAATGTAAAGAAAATTTACTTTTTTTTTTATAAATAACTTTTTCTTTTTTAAATACAAATAATAATTAGGAGTTTAATTAATTAAAAAAAAGAAATAAACAACATGTGTATTTCTTATAAAAATATTTATTAAATCTTAAAATTGATTGTAGATACACTATGTTGATAATAGAAGCGACCAAGAGAAGACAGATGATTTAATAAAAGAATATCTGACTAGATTGGAACTAGCGGCACGTAATGATCCCATTGCTGAAATTCAGTCTCGACTTAATTATCTAAAAGATCCTCAGCCGTCCACAGTGAGTAGAAAATTAATTTTTTTATACAATAAAATACTATTTTTTTCTATAAGAAAACAAAATTTATTATAAATATGAATTAAAATAGAAAATAATTTTTATTATTTTAATAATAAAATTGTTTAATTCTTAGATAGTAATAAAATTAAAATCGAATTTTTAATTAGAATATTAATGATTATAATAAATTTTAAATTAATGTTTTTTTCCCAGTCTTCGTCGAGTATTCATAATGCTTATTATGATGATGAGGATGAAGCATCGATAACTAAGAGGATAATCAAAAAGGCTCTGGCGGAAGCTGCCTTGGAAAAGAAATATGGCGATGTTGATGAGATAGAAGACATGGAAGTTGAAGTAAGTGAAATTCGCTAATCTCTTCTCGATCTATAAACAAAATTAAAATTTATTTAAGTAAAAATTATTTTCTCCTACAGACAGCACACATGAGCACAGACGATGAAGATGAAGCTTGTGTGATGTGTGATCAAACTACAGATTTAATACGTTGTCAAGGATGTCATAATGATCTTTATTGTACACTTTGCTTCGCAGACAATCATGATGACTTTGAATTGGGAAGTCACACGGTTGTTCCTTTTAAACCAAAAAAGAAGTCGAGCTAAAAGTAAATAATTTTTTATTTTTTTAAATTGTCATTGGTACTTTTTAAAGGATAATTTTTTTTTTTAAACAAGATTTTATATTTATCTCAAGACATATATATTTATATATATTTCTTCATTTGTACAGCTTTTATAAACACTGCGAATTAATTGTGATATTAATTAGATATTCGTTAAAAGGACCAAGAAAAAGATGATACAAGTTTTACTAAAAATGCACTTAATTTTTTTTTTTAAATAGGTCATCGCAGTGATGACAATTTTGTGTAGGAAATAAAATTAAAATTGTGCTTATAAATTAGTTTTAAATTTCATTATTTTACTATACAGGAATATTTACATTGTGATGTATCTTAGTGGTAGCTTTTGATTTTTTTTGAACAGAATTTTCATACTTTTCTCGATGGGGGTAGGGATGTTTATCTGCAGTCGCGACGCAAAATACTCCCACTAGTCATTATACTGACCGATTCCCAAAGTTATTTTTAGATTTTCATTCGTCGGAGCTTTGCCAAGATTCAGACATGGGAGACGTTACATTTTAGAAAATCTTTCTTTTTAATATATCCGGTTAAAAAATATATTTAAAGTTTATGATTTTTTATTTTTTTTTTTTACAGGAGGTTTCTAATGTCTAGAAAATATATTATATATGATATTTTGAAGAACATTTTTATCATGATTTTTTTTTTTAATTTTTAAAAATTTATTATTTACATTATTGTTTTTAAAAATTTACTTGAGAAAAATTTTATTGAAATAAGATTTTTTATTAATGTCACTGACACGAATAATTTTTCCTTTGATGTGCGCATATTATTAATTTACAAGTCTTCTTCATTTTATTTGCACTTTACAACTGTTACCTATATATACCGACATTATTTTTCAAGAGAATGTATGAATTATGCAATATTACGATCTATGACTATGAGAGGCTGAATCGCACGCTTTCCCTTTTTCTCAACGAAGAAGGGAATAAATTCCATTGCAGCTTCCATGGGAAACTTTATTGACTTGCTTCGTCAATAAATTGCATTGTTATAATAACTATCGGTTTTATTAAATAATAAATGTTGTTACTGGATTACTATACAAATCTGACAAACTCGAGGAAATATAATTAACATTAATTTCATATTTTTACCGTATATGTTTATTTTTGTATTTAATTCAATAATTATCTTTGATTATATTAATGATTCATTAACTGTGAATGAAAATCCTATTTAAATTGTCGGTTTTATTATATTTATTTCTGAAAGCTTGTTAATTTAATCATTCGTTTAAAAATGTTATTTTATTTAAAATTTACTATCTATAATTTAGAAAAAAATTCATAATGATTTTTTTTTCAAGTTATATTTAGATATCAAATCCAAATTTGATTTATATTATAAGGATGTGCAGGGGAAATTAAAAGAAAAGAGTTTCAAACGTGAGAGAATGTTTAATTATACTTTTATCATAAACTAATTACATACTCGTCCTCGGCATTTTGTACAATGTTCTACCTTTCACTATCCTTTTTTTTGGAGACTTTATCTCGCAATTAATAATACAAAAAACAATAATTGAAAACACGATTTCATCCCTAAAGGATAGGAAATATATTTTACATAAAAATCTTATTAAGGAGAATGAGGATATCAAGTATCACCTTGAACAAAAATGGGACGATGGCTGCTTATCTTTCAATTAACACTAAAACGATAGCTTTCAAATCATTCACTCAAAGAAACAAAACAATTTTGTCTTTTCCAAAGAGAATAAACTTTTATTTTTTTAATGAATTTTTTTTTTTTTATTTCATGAAGATAAACAGTCATTGCAAAATTTCGTACACACTAGTATATATATATATATTTTTTTTTTTGAAGATTTAAAAATATTACATGCACGGCTCATATTCGATCACACGTAATTTATAATATAAGACGTTCGCAAAATCGATTCGAGCATTCATCATTCATTCATCAATAAATTAAAAAAAATAATAATAATCACGTAATAATCGTCCCTCTAATACTGAACGAAGAGAGGCGATCTTATTACTCTTTTTTTTTTCTACTAGTCTCGTATTTTAAGTTGTATAGCATATATATATAAAAAAAAATTAATCATAGATCCTCCTAAATGAAAGCAAATTAGATTTGCTAAAAATTCTCCAAAAATTTTCTTTCATTATTATTCAATTTTCTTTTTTCTTTTTTAAAGGCAGGATCCAAATGCGATAAACGCTGCGCGGAAATACAAAAAATATGATCGATATATGACAAAAGTAATTAAATCACTTTTCAGTCGTTCATAATGGAACAAATTAAATACTTTTCTCGAGTAAGTAAATTTTTCCATAATTTTTTAACAATTGTTTTTTTTTATGAAAATTAAAATATTCATAAACATGCAAAAAAAAAAGTGGATTATATCCAGTGTTAGATAAAAATTTATTTTTCCAACACTCAAAATAGACTTCTCAAAACAAAAAAATAATTTTAACATTAATTGTTTATATAAATAATCCAAGGTTACGCATAATTATTGATTTGATATGGCACCATAAGAAAAATGAAGACATTTGCACAGCGTTTTTTTTAATGAAAAGAGGCGCATTATGCAAAAATCGAATAGAAACGATATAAATTCATTTTGTATTCTTCTTTCATTTTTTTTTTGCCAAGTTATTCTATTTTCAATAAACTCGTTAGAAATAATTGCATCACAATCTTTGGATTTTTATAGAGTTTAAAATTAAATATAAACTATTATATATTATATTGTGCGTGAATTTCGTATCTTTTCTATTCAATTATTTATTTTTTAAATTGCCTAATTTCTCACTTCAATTCTCTGAAGGTATATAATTTCTCTTTTAATGATTAAAATGTATTTCCTCGCGTAAATTGTTTTCTCATTTCTCAAGTGTCTTTTCGAGAGATACTTTTGTTTCTAACTAATTTTCTCAATCCTTGAAATAAACGCGAGGCTTTTGCTCGAGGTTATATTGTTTCATTATCACTAGATTTGGGTCCAGGAAGAGGTATCGGCTCCACCGAAACTGGCGCTAATTGTTTCTTCGTTTTTTTCACCTTTTTCGGTGATTTCGCTGCTTTTAGGATTTCCTGCGTCTCCTGTGAATTAGAAATTTGATTTTCAATTTCTGATAAATTAGTCGAAGTATCGGGAAGTTGATTCTTAGGTTCTTCTAGTTTAGCATCATTTTCGGTTACTACAGTCTCAACTGGAATTTCTTCAACTTTGGAAATTTCAATTTGATTTTCAACTTGTCCAGAAGTGTTTGCACTTATTTGATTCTCTTCTTCTTTAGAAACAATTGATAAAGAATTGGGACCCGGAGGAAGTGGAATGGGTTTGTTGTCAGCAGGCTCTTCACTCTGTTCAGTCTCTGTCGATGGATTTGTTGTATTTTCATTATTTATTTCTGATAATTCTGTTTTTTCCACTTCTTGTCCTGGTAATGGAACTTTAGATTCCAAGAGATTTATAGATTCTTGTATACTTTTGATGGCATTTTTTCTCGCTTGTCGCACATTTTCTTTACCCTCAGTTTCAATATCGTCGAGTTTTATTAATTCTCGTGTTAACATTTCATCGAGATACATGTAATCTTTGTTTTGTCGTGAATTGCCATTGTAATTTTTCACCTGCTCGTTGAGTGAATTCACTTCATTTTGAACGAGTGCAACCCTCTCGAGGGGATCTTTAGGAAGTACTTGCTTTGGTTTAGGGGCTTCTGGTTCTTGTTTTTGTTGTTGAGGCGGTTGTTGATTCTCTTGATGTTGTTGTTGCTGCCGCTGTGGATGTTGTTGATGTGACTGTGGCTTCTGTTGTTGTTGCTGTTGTTGAAATTGTGATTGTTGTTGGGGATGTTGGAACTGCTGTGAATGTTGATGAGGCCAATCTCTCGTGAATTGACGTTCAGGCTCTTCTCGTCCCCATTTGGGTTGATCAAAGAATGCTTCTTGAAAATGTGATGGCCAATTTTGTTTTCCAAATCGTTCATTGTAATGCGAGGGTCTATGAAAATTTGGAGGAGCTTGAAATTGCGGTTGTGATTGATATTGAGGTTGAGATTGATATTGTGGTTGGGATTGATACTGTGGTTGAGACTGAAATTGCGGTGGAGATGAAGAATATGCAAAAGAATCATCATCTCTTTTTTTAGAAATTACTGGCTCATCTCGACCTTCAACAAAAATGGGAATATGTCTAACATTTCCCTGTTGTTGAGTTTTTTGCTGTTGAGCTTGTGGTTCTGGGGATTTTTCTTTTTCCACTTGCTCTTGTTGTTGTTGTTGGGGTGTAATTTCAACTCTAGACACAAAACGAGGTTGTTCAGTTGTCTGTTGAAATTCCTGTCTATTTTCTGGTGGAGCTGACATTGATCGTTGATTTCGATTAATTTTCTGTGGATTATCCATATTTATTTGATGTTGACCAATGTCGACGGTATTTCTGAGGCCGTATTGAGGAATTGGATTTCGTTTAAATTCTTGAAATTCGTGTCGAACTTCTGGTTCACCGTGTGAACTAACGGCACTTGCACCACTTGCTGCACTACTTCCACTTGCTTGACTTTTTGTATCCTCGTCTTGATGATTTTGATAATTGTTTCCACTACCAGAGCCTCGTCGACGATTTTTTAATGTACCTTGAAAGGGGATATCACCCCAAGTTGATCCAAGAAAATGATCAGCAAATTCTGGATGACGAGTGGCTAAGTCATCCAAATGAGAACGTAAATCTGTACGTCTACCAAAGCCGTCCTCGTCGAAATTAAAACCCTGAAACAGAAAATACAATAAAAAATGTTTTTTTAAAAAAAATAATAGAAAAGTGCAACTACTAAAATATCTCTTCTCTACTGTTTCACAAAAACGATTCATGCTCAGAAAAAATTTTTTAATTCTATTTTTATTACTGAATTTAAGAGTCTTTGTGCAATGAGATTGTGAAGCAATATATACTCGTGTGGGCGAAAACGGTGGCTATTTTGTATACCATTTATATCACCTTCTGAGTGAAAAACCTCATTAAGAAGAATGAATATCGATTTCTTATCGGTCTCTCGAGCTTTTATGTTCAGAATTAACTATGTTCATTGAAAAGGAATAAATAAATTATATTGCGGAAAATATTCAATGGCAAGTAAAGTCATCGATCACCATGCTAACGATTGAGATTGATTTGAAAGATTTGAAAGAAGGTTATTACTTTAAGTACGTCAAGAATTGTTATTTCCTTGATTTGAATCTTGAATTTAAGGACTTTTCATGTCTATAACATTTTATTATTATGAAGTTGCAGGATGGCAATGAAAGATATATTCAAGAAGACGTTTTCCCATTAAAATCATAATCATAACAATAATAATTTATCAGATAATATAATATAATACAGGGTATAAAACTGAATAAAAAAAGTTAATGTTTTCAAAACAAGATTTCTTAAGTTAGAATAAATAATAAAAACGACCACTTTCCAAAAGCAGAATGAAAAAGAATTAGTAATATGTAAATTATGTAGTTGAGACACGTAATGCAAATTTTCTAACAAGAGTTTTTCTTTTTTTTTTTTTTTGTCGACAAGATTTTATTTCTGGTTTGACTTGTACGGTTTTTCTGAATGACAAATATTCCCTCCTACTAATAATTGCATTCTCGAGTATATTTTCATAAAGTTCAATTTTCTGAAAAAAAAAAAATAATTCCTTTTTTTTTATTCAATATGAAAAAGCAAAGACGCTGAAAAACATGACCCACTTCTCTCGATCAATTTACACCTCTCTTGCGCATATAGTTATATATGAAAGGCATCAAGATCTAACCAAATATGGCTTCCTAATCTGACATAGAGACTGTCAAAACTACCAAAATGCCTACGCACTCGAGGAAAAAATTCACATAAATTACTGTCTGTTCCATGAAAAACGAAGAATAAGAAAAAAAATCCTTGAAATATATTTTTTCTCGTACTATAGTTCAAAGGACTTGTTTACAAAACAATTGTACTTTGACCTATTGCTTTTATAATTTTCTGCCCGCAACTATTAAGTACCTGGTTTAACAATTTATGTACTTATAGATATACAGATCATTACGTGAACAACATATTTGAATGTGTAACCCAACCCACGCTTCTGTCTGTGACGTCATAACAAAGTGTAGATACAAAAAAAAAAAAAAAAAAAAAAAAATCACTAGTTCTCAAGCAATGAAATCACTCAAATCCTCATAAAAGGAAGTGATAATTTTTAAGATTTCGCTAAACGTTTACCTTATAAAAGATTGTTTCTAAATCTGATACAAATAGTATAAAAATAATCAAATTTGAACAATAAAACGAAAAATTCTTTTCTATTTTGTATATTTTCAAAGATAATTACTTGTGCATAATATTCATAGTCTTTGTTTGAAAAACACCTGTATGACAGAAATTCTTGGATTACAGTCACAAAATTCCTGCATTAATTAAATTTTCCAAGAAAATCTATTAATGTAACAAATTTTTATGCATTTTTTTCCCCTCTTATTTCTCAATTTTAGAAAAATGATTCAAAAAATTATTTTCAGTAAAAATAAGACCTTATGAAAATTCCTTATAAGAAAATAATGTTAAAGCTGAAATGTTTTCATGGTATAATGTTTTTTGTATATAATATTTTCGCGATTATAGGTAATTTTTTATAAGAAATTTATTATAAAATTTTTTTTCTCAAATAATTATAAAAATATATAATTATTAGAGACTCTGTAATGAAATCATTACAATTTTATAATTATGAAAATTTAATTATAGAAAATAAAATTTTTCACGTGCATAAATTAAAATATTATAAAATTAAAATTAAAAAAATTTAATTACAGAAATTAATTAATTTTGTATTTTACTAATAACTATATATAGTTATCAGTAAAATACAAAATTACAAAACTATATATAGTTATCAGTAAAATACAAAATTAATTTCAGTAATTAAATTTTTATAATTTTAATTTTATAATATTTTAATTTTTGCGCGTGAAAAATTTTATTTTCTATAATTACATTTTCATAATTATAAAATTGTAATGATTTCATTACAGAGTCTCTAATAATTATATTTTTATAATTATTTGAGAAAAAAAATTTTATAATAAATTATCTATAATCGCGAAAATATTATACAAAAAACATTATACTGAAAACATTTCAGCTTTAACATTATTTTCTTATAATGAATTTTCATAAGGGAGTTAACATAAAAAACGAAATTATAACAATGAAAGTAAACTAATTGCGAGAGTTTACAAGAGTTTGACGACCTTCTGTTTTGGAACTCGGTTATTGGGTCAAGGTCATTTTCAAGGGTACAAGACAAGAAGCACGAATTGCTTTTCGTAAGAAAAAAAAAAAAAAAATTGTGCAGTGTTGTGCAAATTATGAAGAACATTACAATCGACCAGTGACTAATAAATTGTGAGACAAAAAAAAAAAAATTTAACTAGTCTATGATTAAAATCAGCAATAATTAATAGAGCATCAGTCATATGAAAGATTTAAATTATTTATAGCAGTGACTCTATAATAAAATTCCTTATCACCTATTTCCATCAATTGACAATATTCTTGTCTGCTATTGTCAGACAGGATCACACGTAATAATTTCCTGTAATTAAAAAAAAATTCTATATTTAATATTAATATGACGATTTTTTTTTCTTCTTCTGAGCCTGAGAACAATATTTTCACAGTAGAAAAAGAGATATTTTTAAATAAGTTTTAAAAAAATATATCAAGAAAAAAATTGATAATAATTAAAGGACAAAAATTCGTCTACAATGAAGGTTAAGATACAAATGCAGTAGAAAAAAAAAAAAAAAAGTGAATCGTCTCTGATCTCTGAAAACTGGGTGAATGTCACGGTGACCATAAGTATCATTTGATTGAAAAAGTAGGTCACGGCTTAAACATTCCCTCTTATATATATATATATACATCTTTGGCTAAAATAATCATTCCTTCTTTGGAATTCTTGCCAAAAGAATCCAATTTTTGTGAAATAAGATTTTTTTCAGAGTTCAGAGTTTTTAATTTGAAATAAAAAAAGCAAATTAAAAATCGATCATGCGTAATAAATTTGATTTTCTAGGGACATTTTGTCAATTAGCCATATTAATTAAATTACTTCACCTATATTACTTTGCTCAACTACCAATAATAAAACTCGTTTTACTATACAAGATAAATATTTTAATTGATAATTTTGAAAATAATATTAAGACGAATTTTTTTGCCCCAAATATAGATCAATAAAAGAAACGATTAAATTCTTAATATCCAAGTTCTTGAAATATATAAAAAATAAGAAAAAAAAAATAGGCAAAATAAATTGTTTTTGTAGATCAAAGTCTATGTATAAAAAAGTAAATTCAACTCTCTCTCGAGATTTTCTTTTTTTTTTGCGATATCATCGCGCCCACGTGATAATATGTTATATACGTCATTATTGGAAGAAGGCTCGACGACTTGGCACATCGTAAATATACGAAAATTTGCTCGTGCCGGTTATCCAAAACCGGTTTTTTTTTTTTTTGTTCCTCGAAGGAAAAACATTACGGTTACTTCAAGTAAAGAGTTGGCTTAGATCACGAACTAAAATATAAAATTAATTTTATTTATACGTATAGACGAGAGAGACACTTGGATTTTAAGAGTATAATCATATCTCGTTCCAAATCAAAATACAAAAATGATTTTGTAACATTTTTTCTTTTTTAAATATAAAAATATTGGGTAACAAGGATAAAAGCATAAATTAATTTTAATAGAAAATAATTATGTGGATGGTTAATGAGTATAAAATAACATTAATTATATCCAGGGGGTTTTTTTTTTGTGACATACATTTTTTTTCGAGATGAATCATGCCAGGTGATAAAAAAATCTATTGACTGAAAATTAAAAGCACAGGCCAAAAGAATATAGTCACGTTAAGAACATAAGATGAGAGTTTCGACGTCATTGCACGGAAAAGTTATTTCTAACTTCCACGTAACATCGTCGAAACGCGGGGAAACAAAATGAAACTGATACTAAGCAACAATTTCAGCGTGAAAAATGCACAGCAAATAAAAAAATAATAATACAACATCACAAAATAAAAAATAAAATTAGAATAAAGTTGACGTGTGACACTTAAAATGTAGTCAAAAATATTTTTGAAAACATGTCAAATTATATCTTTTTATATATAAATCTGTATAAAAATTTTTGTATATTGTGCATGAAAAATTGTTTGTAAGAAGCAAGCAGTAAGCAAAGCAAAAAATTTTTAATCAAAATAATTTTTCATTATTCAGAATTTATGAATTTTGTAAAGAAATTATTTTGGAATTTGTTCATTTTTGTGATGATCAAGGTTTCTTTAAACTAGAAAATATTTTCATTATTTTTTTTTTTCAATACAATAAATTGTAATTTTTTTTTTCTTTAAAGGATTTCTTGTTAATAAATTATAATTTGCAAAAGCCGTATAAAATGATTCTGAATCATGTAATTGGCACCTTGGGTGTAGATCTTGAATTTTTTGATCAATTAGATAAAACGTTAAAATGTATATTTTTCAACAAAGAATAATAAAAACGAGGAAAATATTATGTTATAAGAAGCTGGGGAAATATTCAAACAATTTAGAAGGAACCTTGACGAAAATTGTATCATCGCGCATGTCACCTTGATTCAAAGAGTTTTTTTGGAAAAATTCGTGGAAGGGGACACGTGGAGGGGAAATTGAGAAAAATATTTTTTCAACATTTGCCTTGATCAGGAATGATGATAGGGAATTTTTTTTTTGAGAAAGGGCACTTACAGGGAAATCGCAATCCAGATCGATCCCTCGTCCGAATTTGGATGCGTTGTCCAGCATGACAGGCGAGTCCATAGCTTGGACTCTGTTTTAAAAACGTGCTTATTCCTTTTTTTTAAATTTTATAATCACAGGATATTTTTTTAAGGCTATTTATTAAAAAAAAAAAATAGCCTAGTTATTAATGAATTTGATTTTGTTTTACAGGCTAAAAGAAGCTCGCTAAAAAAATGCCGGTAGAGGTTATGCGAGCGATGCCAACACGCTTCTAAAATCTTGTCAGTTACCGATTTTTAAAGATTATTTCTGTCCGGAATCTCTGCTTCAAAAAACTGGAAATAATTTGATCCTCTTTTTCTCCTTCGATTTTGGTTAGTTAATATTTTCAGCTTCAAAAAAATAAGTAATTGAACTATATCACTTTTTCACTGTTTCTTTTTTAGATTCACCAAGAATGAATTCAATTTTTTGACAACTTATTTGTTGTTGTTGAATGCACTTTAAATTCTGCATAGAATAAAAAAAAAAAAAGCGTGAGTGTCACGCATTAAACCACACTGAAAACTATTGAGATACTGTCATATGAGAAGGCGGGGGAACAACTTAAATGTGTTGGCACTGCGACACCACGTGATGCGCGCGCAAACCAAGTCGCGAAACTTCCAGAGAGTTCTACAACAACATGGTCTCAATAGATGAGAAGAAGTTTCTAGACTTCTCGACAATTCTTTAAAGAATGATGATTTAACAAGAAAAGTTGAGTTTCGATAAACTGAAAGAAGTGGGGCAGATGATGATGATGATGCTGTTTTAAGAAGGTGGCGCTACTTTATCGGAAGTTAAAAATGAAAACTGTGGGAGGTGGCGTTTGTTGTCTAGTATACACGTGCTACGAAATGTCAACTGCAAACACGTGGTCTCTTGAGAGGAATTTACATTATCAAAAATTTACAAATTACAGCGTGATTGTCCTTTCTACAGTGAATCTTTTTCTTCCGGTAAGTCACTAGTTTTTTTTTCCTTTTTTTTAGAGAATAATATTTAAATTATTTTTCAGAATTACAATTATAGTTATATATTTATTGTAAATATTATAAACCTCATGTATAAAAATAATTGTACTATACTAAGTATATATATAATTTGTAATTATTCTTTTATTTTCAGAAAATTCGTCAACTAAAAAAAAAAAGGATTGTAATGCAAATAATTAATTTTTCTTCCTACAAAATGGTGAAAATTATTATTATTTTTTTTTTTAAATCATTGACCAGTAAAAAGTTTCGATAAAAATTTATATTTATTTATAGTGAATCATCGTTGTAATTTTTTTTTTGTATTAATTTCAGATCTGGCTTTCAATGCAATAATTTTTTTTTTTTTTTTTCAGAAAACTTTCTTTTATACATTTTGCGGGGCGCCAGGCAAGGTTGTTTGCCTGACTCGTTCACCTGGCTCCTTTTATAGAAAACGTATACACTTCCCCCCTTGAGTTCTTTGCAAGCAGGAAACTGCAGGGACGACGATTTTTATATATGGAAGCGACAAGATGCGATCATCGGCACCGAGGCGTAATGGTAATATGCCTACATTATAAATTTCTTCAAAAAAGATAAATTACCCGTGAATTTTGCTTTATCGTTATGGTAGCATTTTGACTTAATTAAGAGATTACTAAAGTCCTTTTATCGAAATCATTTAAGATATAACTAAATTTTTATAATATTTTCATTATAGAGAATTATAAAGTATTATTAAATTTTTTTTTTTTTTACTAATTATACATTAAAAATGAATCAATATTTTCAAGGTAAAATTTGAATTTAAAAAAAAAAAAAAGATGAAATGGAATGATAGGATTATTTTTATTCGAGTGCGTCTTTTTTTAACATTGTGACTATTGTTTTGAGAATTTTTTTTCACCTATCTTAAGGGTCAGGTACTACTGAACTATAAAATTCTTATTTGAATGTTAGTCATACGATTGGATTTTGGCAATGTTCCAAAAGATCTCTATTTTTCTTTGACTGCATGCAAAAATACGCTTTGTATTTCAACACATTTATTCTGTGTACGGACTGCAAAAGTCGTCCTTGTTTCACGCAAATTAAATATATGCAATTCGGAACTACAAAATTTTATTGATATTTCTATTTAAATTAGAAAAAAAATATATATCTCGTGAAAAATTGGTAAAATTATTAGTAGAAAGAATGATTAAATTAATTATAAAGTGTTTTCTTTTTTTTTTTTTGTTTGTGAAATTTATTGATCAAGTTTTAATTAAACTGATAATATTTGGAATTTAATTTAATATAGAATAATAATTTTTTTTTCAAGTGTATAAGCGGAAGCGGAAATTAAGCCGTCGAAGGGCATACACATTATGAAATGTCTCTATATATTCTTGGCTGATTTCCAAATATGTGCAGCTAATAAACTTTTGTTGAGAGTTTTAAGTCTCAATTATGGAATATTTTACAAAATATAATAAGTTGATTGCAAAATCAGAACGCCATTTGAGTCGCGGAAATCTCTTTTAAAAGTACCAGAAAAATTTTTAAAGAAAAGAAAAAGTAAGTGAACATTTTTTTTACATTTAGAATTTATTCACATACAACGTTCTATACACAAATCAATTGTTATATGTTCTTGGAAATTTAGTTAATGAAACTTGAAACACCTGCACGCGATCATAAAATTGACCTTTTGATAATATTCAGAATTTTAAATTAAATGTGTTGCGCAAAAATAATGATTAATTTTTTTCAATTTAAAAATTTCGACAAAAATTTTCCATATTTCTGGATATTATATTTTAAAGGCTAATTAAAAAATGAATCGAGAGAGAATTTATAACAACTAATTATAATTTATGAGTCACTTGTGTAGTGTCTTAAATAATAAAAAAATGAAGCACACCTTCAAGTCTCGTAAATTATAACAAAAATTTAATGAAACAAAGTTACAATAAAAAAAAACGCATGTTTTTTTTTCATGAGAAGGTTATTATATAGTCTAAAAATAGAAATCGCAGTACTTTCAATGCAAGGATTTCTTGTTCCAGAAAAAAAAAATATATATATATATAACTCTACTTTTATCTAGTTAACGAACAATGTAAAATTTGTTACACTTCGTTATTCTAAATTTTCGTCTCAATGGATATAAAGCTTGTTAGCTCAAAATATAAACGTGGGTAGTATCGTCGTAATTTAAAAAATAATTCAATGAATTATTTTCTTTTTGTTGTATAACTTTTAAAATTGTAAAAAAAAAGAATAATTGTTTATAAATTCAGTTCATATACAAAATTCAATTTCAAAAGTTTCAAGTGTTGCCATCTTACGTGATCTATGCGTACTTTTCTCTTTGCCAGAAAAATATTTTTTTTTTTTTAAACCACTTATTTAAATTATCAACATGATGTTTTTTTTTTGTAATTATCAATAGAAACACTTTTTGAAAGATTTTTTTAAAAGAAAAATTCTAATAATCTTGAATTTTTTTTATTAATTTATTATTATTTATATTTTCAGTGGAAATTTATTATACTAAATAGTTTCAAAAAAAATATGGAATAAAAAAAGAGATAAAAAATTTCTTTTTAAATTAATTAAAAAATTCGAATTTTTATAAGAATTAATCGAACTGAATAAAAAAAGAAAAAAAAATAGAGGGATCTCGAAAAGTTGTAGGATCATCGATAATGACGATCGATGATCTACGGTGATCGATAGATTCATTAGGAGAACATGAACTCTGAGGAGGTATTCTTGACTAGCAATGTTACTACTCTCCCATTTTGTGACGTCAACACCTTCCTGGTATAATATAAGAAAGAGACAGGTTCTTGGATCATTGCGGCCATTTTGACTTTCCATTTGTTAACACATGTCGTTACTGATGGAATAATTTTATTTTCAACAAGTAAAAAAAATAATTTGTCAAATTAGCCTTTTTAAACGCTCAATAGTATAAAAATTTCAATTTTTCATATAAAATTAATGTTTTTTAATAATTTATTTATTCTATATTAAATTATTACACTCAAAAATTTGATTTAAAAAAAAAAATTTTCAAAACAAAATTTTGTAATGAACAAATTTTTTTGAATATATTTTTATAAATCATTCTTAGCAGATATATATTTTTCTAGAGTGATTTCCATGACAAAAGAGTTGACGTGTTTAGGATATATAAAGAAGATATCAGAAGTTCGAGAAAAAAAAATTTTTTTTCGGACAAAAATACAGCTCAAAAACTGTTCATATAGAAACTTATACAGAATAATAATGATGGGAGTGGCACAGATTATATTAACTTATCTATATATATATATATATATATATATATATATATATATATATCTTTGCAGATAAAAAAAAATTGATTTTAAAATATTGTTCGAGAATTTTATTTTTGAAAAATAATGAAGAGAGAAATGGTACTCGGATTAATTTTCATTTCATATTAAAAAGTAATAAAATAATTTGTGAATTATGTGCCAGTAATTTGACATGGATAGTGCTATTGTAATTATTCTTATGTAACATAAGAGGCATACCAGTAGAGAACGAATTGTATAATTCACTTGCCAAAGACGATCTTATATATATATATACAGCGAGAGACAGTGTAACTATTATACAGGTGCACGAGTATAGAAGCAATAAATTAGCACATTACTTTTTGGACAAACTTCAAAAATGCCACTTAACAGTGTTAGATCAAATTGTCTAATACCCAATTCAATCAAAATTCAAATAGGAATCTCATAAAAATTAATATTTCTTATAAGAAATAATTTAATTTTAATTATTGTAAAATAACTAAAATAATTTTATAAATATTTCTCTATAGAGATTAATATTAATTTTTTGAAAATAAAATAGAATTATTAGTTAACAATTATTTTAATTATAGAGAAAAATGGAATAAAATTAAATAGAAAATATATGGCGTGTTGGCAAATATAGCAAGGTGTTTCGACATTATTGACACCTTCTTATTACAGTATGTCACGTGTGTATTGTTAATGTATAGGAGAAAGGAAAAGAGCAGAGCTTCAATGTGCTGTCACATTATAATCATGAGGGTCATATGAGTCACGAGGAAACGGAAAAATTAACATAAGAAATGAGATCTCATTTCGAAAAATGAAACGCTGTCATCAGATCTATATAAAATAATATCTCAATATAAAAAATATTTATTAAATATAGCAAGAAGCATATATATATATATATATATATATATATATATATATATATATATATATATATATATATATATATATATATATATATATATATATATATATATATCACAGGAAAAGTTTTGGAAAACGAGAAATTTTGTGCAAATTTCCAAGTAAAATTAATTGCCAGAGAGAAACCCTTTGAAATAGTACACCTTTAACACAAATCGTCTCTCTCTCTCTCTTTCTCAGACGAGAATCGTGTTAAAATTGGACGACCACTCGCACAATTTCAAGCAGAACGAAATATGACAGAGAATCGTCTCTTTAGTCTGGGAAAGCCACATAAACCTTGATTTGTGCTTAGAAAAGTTTTAGAATTTGTCATATATATATAGTGAAAGAGAAATTGTGACATAAATAAATTATTTAATATTTATAATATTATAATAAATTTTGAAAATTTTATAAAAAAAAAGGTCAAATAAATTTGATAAGGAACAAAAATAGTAAAAAAAAAATGTTTCTTCTAACTTTTTATCGATTAAAATCTGTAAGTGAAATTAATTTTTTTTGACTTGAGAAAAAAAAATAATTGTATATAGATTACAGACAAAGATTTGAGAAAGATTCAAAAGCAGCAAAGCGATGCATTAGCCTTTCTCGTTTGGAATCCAGGAATAGATGAGAAAAGATCTCGCGTTGAAGAAAACGAGAATGGCAGCGACCCTTGAGCGATCTTGTCACAATAAATAAAAGTTAAGAGTTTTGTTGATAGATTCTTTTTTTAATATTTTAGACACTTTGGGAAATATTTGACTATTTTTTTTTTTTTTTAAGAATTTTTTTGCCGCAAAAATGAATGAAAATCTAATGAGAAACAATAAGTATATTGTTAAATTGAGTGTAAATCAAATTTGAAGTTCTCCTTCTGTTAGGATCAATGGTTTCTATTTTGAGAGATCTCGAACGTTCTCTAACTTCTTCGTGGCCAACGACTTAAACTATTTTCCCCTTTCCATATCACATAGTGAAAAATTTATCTTATACAATTTACATTTAATAATTTAATTAATAACTTATCCGCTTAATTAAAAAAAAAAAACAGGAAAAAATCAGTTTAAAAAAAATTAAACAAAAAAATTCAAGTATTTAGTATATATAATTTTATTTTCTTTCTAAATTATATACTTTCTTGTTTGAAATGTATTTTTAAGATAAAATCGAGTTCATGTGTGATCAAATATCAACAAAGAAAATTTGGCGTCTTTCCAAAAACAGGGAAGCAAAATCTCTCTCTCTCTTTCAAGACTCCTTTTTCTCTTTTTTATGTTATTAAATATTCATGAAACTGTAAATAATATACAATTCTATAAAGTCCCCAATTTTTACTAATGAAACTTGAGAAAGCTCGGCTTTCAAAAATATAATCGTCAAAACATTTTATGAAACTTTAGTAAAAAATAATAAAACTATGGTTTCTCAATAGAATTCATTTTTGAAAATTCAAAAAAATAATTTATTTTAAATTTCTATTACTTTCAAGTTCTCAGTTTAATTATTTATATACTTGTAAGTAACAAAAATATATCTTGTAAGATTGATTCTAAAATTTCATTTAGAAACCAAAATAACATGAATCTTAATTTATTCTTTTGACGTTCTTAACAGTTTTCTTTTTAACTGTTTTTTTTTCATTTCATAAAGAATTGCTTAAAAAGAAATAGTGTTAACGTTTGTATAGTTGAATACTTTAAATATTGAAAAGATTTTAATATAAAAGATAAAAGCAACTAAAAAAAAAAGTGCTTGACTCACTTTCAAAGTTTTTTTCATTATGCACAAAAAATTAAAAAGAAACTTTCTTTGCAATTTGTCACTGAATCAAATACAATCAATATAATCTATAATTTACTAATTATTTATTATTATTAATATTAAATATTAATTATTATAATAATTTAATTAAGATTATTGATAAAAATAATTTTTAAAAAATTTATTTAAAAAAAGTATTTCTATAAACTATAAACAATATACTCTATTTGGAATATTTTTCTTATTTAAAATTTGTAATTTGAAACGTCGTATAAAGCGAAAGTACATTTTGCTATAAAAACATTTTGGCTCACTGCCCAATAGCATAAAAATAAAATCTTTGCAAAATTAAATAGTCAGATTGTCGCCAGTGTAATTTTATTTTTAAAAAAATTGTTTATAACAATTAATTTATAATTAGTAGATCCTCAAATTCCATCATCAAAAAAATGACTTAATTGCAAAAAATTTTGTTATTCTTTGATAATTGTTTATAATTCTCGTGTAAAATCAAAAATAATAGTTCAACAACCTTTTTGCCAACAATTACAAAAACAACAAAAAATCATTATATTCAATTTTTTTATAATAATAAAAATAAATAGTCTTTTATTTCTTTTTTAATAAAAATAATTGAGAGTACGAATTTAGAAAATTATAACGTCTCTACTCTATAATAAATGTGAAGGAATGAAATAAAACCCTAACGAAAAGAAGATGAGTCACTAAGGTGCAGAAATTATTATTCCTAAGGTGGTTCGATGAAATTGGGGTGGAGTGAGTTGATTTCAAGGATTTCCTTTTGAAAAAGGAAGGATTTTTAAGATTAATGACAACAGGAAATCGTTCAATTTAAAAATATAATGCAAGTTAACGTTTCATGTGGAGAATATAAAAATTTTACGAAAAATAAATTTTATTATAGAAAAATATATTATGAATATGCGCGTAATTCAAAGATTTAGAACACAGACGGTTTACATTAATAATCTATGTTACTTGAATTGATTATTTATGCGCAAGAAATGATTAATTTTCTTATTTTATAGAAAATATATTTTTAAAAAAATATATATATATTCAGAAGGGAATAACCGCTAATAATTGCAGAACATTTATAATTGAATGTAAAGGCGTCGATATGTATCGGTGTTGAAAGAATCCATTCATTAACATCATGATGATCGCATTAATAATCAGAATAAGTGATCAAACTATAATAAAAAATTTTAATTTTGAATGATGATCGTGAAAAAACAGATTAAGAACTACATTAATTTATAGTGACACGTAAAACTTATGAGTTCTTGATAAAAAATTATCACAGCGTAAAACTTTTGTAGGCTAATCACTATTATTGCGTAGTGTTAATTTAAAAGTTATCTAATATAAAAGCAAATTATTCAATGACCTGAAATTACATATTAAAAGAAAATTTTTTCTAATCTATTTAAGTATCCATAAATAATGTCAACAGTGTAACATTTAAATAATTCGTGTTAATAAAGCAATTATTTATCACTTGATTTTAAAAAATGAATAAGAGGATCATTATTTATAACTATATTATTTACTACATAGTAAAATACATTGTTTCTTTTTATTCATTGTTTAAATCATATAAATTTAAAAGAAATTGATAAGAGAAAGAAACATTAAAAGAGAGAATCATTTAATTACAAAGGTAAAAGTAAATCAATTAAACTAATGATAACAACAGTGAAAAATATTAAATATTAATTAAAAATGAAAAAATTAGTTTAATTCATTTTATCTTTTATCTCCGTTAAATTTTAAATCGAGTGTTTAACGGTTTAACTATTAAAAAAATGAGGTTATGTGAATTTATATTTTAAAATATATAAAACAATTACATTTTTCTTAACTCAACTTCAAGAAGAGATATTAAATTTATTTCGAAGTTGAATGGAGATTATATCGTCAAGTGATAATTGTTGTGTAATATTGGAAAAAACAAAAGAATATAAAAACTCACTCTGGGAAAATTTGTATGCCGTTCAAAAGGATCTCGAGACATTCTCATGTTTGATGGTTCAAAAAAAGAATTTGTGTCTTCATCAAAATGTTGTTTAATTTCTTGTAAAATTTCATCTCCAGTTTTGCCTCTTAATTTGTCGCTAACTCTAGGTTTTTCACGAAAATAAAAAGACGACATTTTTTGAAAATCAAAAAGAAAAAAAATATATACTAGTTCACACTTCACTCAAACTTTCCTTTTGTTTATCATACACTAAATTATATAAAACTCTTATTTAAATTGAATACTTTATTAATAATAGTTTTTATATTTATTTTTAAATGTAACAAGAACTATCCAAATCAATCCTAAACAACATTCTCGTCAGACGCTTTGCGTGAAACTAAACAACGCTTCGCGCCAATTGAAGATAAAGGCACCGGCATCAGGGACGAATCTAAAAGTGGTGCCGCGGGTTCTTTAATTTATTTTATCAAATTTTAACAATATTTTCTAAATTTTTAAATTATTTCCTTTTAATCACTCTTACGTATTAATATTCGTGTTTTTCTTTTAAAATTTAACATTTTAGTAATTTATTTCGTTATTAATTTAAATAGATTTAGAATTGATTAATCGATACTAATCGATTCACTAGTTGACTAACTTCACAGCAATTTCAAATAGAGTGAAGGAAGTTCTTGTTTGTTTAAAATTTACCGGCTGATCTGTTTATGTGTTTGTATGTATGTATATTGAAATTTAGTATGTAGTAAATTAGCAAAAGACACGCGTGGTGTTATTATATAGAAAACAATGTGATATTTTTCCCATAATTGTTCAAAGTCGTAATGCTAAACATTGCAGAATTTCTGTTAGTACGTTTTTGATAACACATATCAAGTTACACATTCCATACGACTGATGATAGAACTGATAGGCAAAAATGAATAACAAGAAAATGACGCCAGAAAATGCAGTCAATACCGGTGATTTTCTTAATTCAGCAGGTAAATTATACTTATTTCACTGTGTTGCATTAAATAAATTTTTTCTATTGTTACAATTTTATTTTGAAACATATACTGTATTTGTTTTGTTTATCGTTCTCAAATCGCCAAAAAAATTAATATTCTAGTTTTATAAATATAACCTTTAAATTAAACATATAATTATTTTAAATTTCGTTTTTTAATCTGTGTAAATTAATATGTGTTATTAAATTTTATTTAAGAAAAGTTTAGGTTTATATATATTTTAATGTGGTATGTTATCGATTCATTTTTTTAAAAATAATATTACATATTTTTATTTTCATAATAGAACTTCATCGTTTTTAATACACTTTCTTTTTCAGGTTGTGATTCAAGAAATCAATCAGTTCCTCAACTTAATACCCTGAACAGTATTTATCAATGTATCGTGTGTCCATATTCAGGGGCAACACCTGTAGAAATGCATCAACATCAAATTAGTGTTCATACAACAGAACAGCTATCATTATCAATACTTGGTCTTCAAATTCTCTACAATATGAACGAATTATCAAAAAATGAAATCTTAAAACAAATTAATACTTCAAGTGTTTCAAATAACAATCTCCGGAATCAATCACCAAAGAATAATAATAATAATAATAATAATGAAAGTTTTCAAATATCCAATACAAATGTAACTTTTAGAGATTCAATTAATTCTAATTTACAAGAAGAACCAATGTGCCTTAAAGTTCATAATCGAAATTCTCAAATTGCTCAAGAAAATAACAATTTAATGGCTCAACAAAAAATTGTTCATAAAACACAACAACTTAAGAAACCAACTTTGTCTGTGATACAAAAGTTAGTGCCATTAAATCAAGATATTAATTATCTTCAAGCACCATCAAATGTTCTTCAACAGCCTTTAATTTGGAATGACGGACAGCTTTACACTCAAAAAACTGTACCAATTATTAAAGAAAATTATAATATCTCTCAAATTCAACCTACTTGTTCACAAATATTGCCAAATAATTTTCTACTTAAATCAAATGAAATTCAATCTCAAACGGAATCTCCAACAAGTGTTATTAAAAATATTGAACAAATCAAGAGATCTCAAACGCTTTTAAAAATTCCAAAGGCAAAATTTATCAATTTTAAAACACTCGCTAATAAAGAGGAACATCAGTTTAAAAAACCAGAATCAATACCAAAAACTTCAAAGTCCATTATAAAAAAATCGGAATTGATTCTTAAGTCAAAAATAATAATTAAAGAACCAGAAATAATAACGAATAAAGTAGAAGAAACATTTAATGATTCAAATGTAATTATAAATTATTGTCCATGTTTGAAATCAGGAGAAAATTTTAACAAATTATCAGAAGCAGTTAAAAAAGAAACAAAAGAAATTTTCTTAAAACCAAAAATGATTTCTCTAAAAAAAAAAGTAAGTGCAACCAATAAACCAAAGGAGCCGAAAAAAAAGAAAGTAATTACAGAAAAATCAAAAAAGCCAAAATCTAAAAAATCAAAAGTAATTTCAAATAAATTTAATCAAAGTTCAAATATATCTGATAAAGAAAGTTCAAAAGATGCTGAAATAATTTCTAATAATTCAGAAATAATTTTGCAGAATCCAGAAATTTTGAAAAATCAACCAACAGTAATAATTAACAGAATTGATGAAATTCATGAACCAAAAGAAAAAGTAAACAATGTTTCAGAGAATAAAAATAAATTATCAAAAATAGAAAATAAAAATTGCAGTAATAAATCTTATGATAATTTCGAAATCGTTAATCGAAAAAGAAAGCGATCAAAATCAAATGATTTAAAAATAGTTCTATCACGTTCAAACAATTCACCAGAATCTACATCAAGTTCAAAATCATCACCGAAGAATGAAGAAACAAATTCTAAAATATCAAAATTATCACCAAATTTAAAATCACGTAATAGAAAATCTAAATTGCTATTGAAATTATCTGATGTACCATCTTCAAGTGAAAAATCATCACAAATCATTGAAGTTATCGACGATGGATGGGACAATTCGGTGAAAGCAAAACTTCAAGTTGACAGTGAATTACCAATGGATATAACAAAACTTGCCATGCAGGATACAAGAAATATCAATGATTTTAATAACATTCAAAACATTGAAGAAAATTCTAGTTGTGATGATTTAACAAATGAAATTTTAATTCAAATGGATCCTTTTTTGACATCTCAATTACTTCAGGAGTACGATTTCTCATCTCAAGAAATAGATAATGAAAATATTGATTATCAGGTAAGAAGTAATTTAATTAATGGCTTCAATTATGCAAATGAAGGTGATGTAATACTTGATTTAAATCAACCAACTATTACATCGGTTGATTTAAATGAAAATGTATGGTCCGATGATAATCTAACTTACGCGGAATTACTTCCTGTCTTTCAAGAAGACAATTTTCAGGACCTAATAAATTAACATTTGTTTTTTGAACAAAATTTTTTTCATAATTTAGATATCGTTATTTTTTCATTAAATTCTATTATAGTGAAAATAATTATAAGTAAAAGTTAAATTTGATTTACGTTTAAATCAAAGAAAAAATTGTTATCTTTAAAAAAAAAAAAGTGAATTATATTTTATAAATAATTCGCAGTATTCAAAGAAATATAAGATAATGTTAATTTAAATTTAAGAAAAGTGATTTAGAATTTAAAAAAATGTTAGATAATATTTTGTTATAAAAATTTAAAAAATTTGTGAACAAATTATATAATATATATATATTTGTAAGAATGTTAACGATATATCAAAATTTCAATATTTTGATAACGCGCGCAAAGACAGTATTTTAAAAATCTCAGTTTTGTGTCATACATTCCAGTAATAAAGAATGCATTGAAAAAATAATGGTATAATTCATTTTTAAAAAGAAACAAGTAAGACAATTTCTATAGGTACAAATGAGTGCATTATTTATAATATAAAAGGCACATAAGAGTATGTAAAAAAAAATAGAAATTAGTAACAGTCCATTGAGTTCACATCATTATGTTCATAGAGTGTTAAAATATCATCGAGGACTGACTCAAAACTATTTGTATATGTTGTAAGCCAAGAACTTTTTTCCTCGATATAAGCATTTATATCCTTTTCGAGGATTACATTCAAAAAATCTTGTCTCGTTACATTAGCTATTGTTTTTAGTGTTTCATTTTCATCTTCATTATTTTGTTCATCATCCATTTTCATTGAATTCTCATAAATTGCTGACAACAAATTTGTATCGTTTTTACTGACAATATCATCAATTACATTTGAAGAATTAGTTTTTGTTTCTCCTGAATTGCAATTTTCAAAATTCGCTGGCCTCACATATGTTGTGTCTAAAGTTGCACTATCCTTTGGAAGTTGTACCACAGGAAATGGTTCATTAATTTTATATTTAACCAAAAAAGTTTTGAGTCTACTTATAATTTTCGCTGTTTCTTTGCACACTTCAAAGTCACTGTCATCCTTCAAGCATTGCAAAATTACCTAATTTAAAATTTTTTTTTAAAATTGTATATCTTTTTGAGTATTAAAAAAAATTAATTAAATATTAACTTACCCCGAGGCATTTTTGTTTTGCCAAATCGTCTAGAGCTTTATTAACTCTTCGTTTGATTTCAGTCTCGTTAAGTTGTACGATTTTTCTATGCTCTTTCGAAAAAGTGACATTAGGAAATGATCCATCAAGCATTCCTTGATCAGTAAGATGGGATTTTATAAAGTGTCTCCAAAATTGAAGTGCATTCACTTTTACTTCCCAATGTAAATCCAAAACAGCTGCAGTTGCCATTGCATTTGTCATAACATCAATACTTGCTTTTCTATATATAAAACAAACAAAATTAATGCAAATTAAAACAAAACGTTTTTTGCTCAATTAACACTTACTGCCATTGACGATGAATATATAATTCCGTAAGAAGGGACACGGCCTCTCTTCGTACAATTGCCTCACTTTCTTGATTAATTAAGTGAATGGCTTTTTCCTAGAAACAAATGAAAAAAATTCAATTATTAATTAATTACTAATACAAATTTGTAGAAGTAAATTGAATGAATGAAAATTCAAAAAAAAAAAAAAAAACCTACTGGTAATTCCAATTCAGATAATGTAGTGGTCCAGAGTTTTTCTATTCTGACTGTTGTTGCCAGGAAAATTAGCGCTGAAGCTCTTACATAACTTTCGCTGTCACTCATGGAAACAGAAGCAGCAACTTGCAGGAATTGATGATTCAGAAGAAAGTCCTGAAATGCTGGGTATTCTACAAAAAATAATTTTATTTGCAAAAATTTGTTTAAATTATTTTTTTTTTTTAAATTTCTAGCCTTATGTTACATACTATCTTCAGAAATTGTAGCCATGGTATTTAAAACCTCAAATACACTGTCAACAACTTCCCAGTTAGGATTATGAAGCCTTTTGAACAATGTTGGTCCAATGTAATTCATATGACTGTCAGAATCAACAAGCAGTGCCAAATGTGGTGGCATAAAATTTTGAATTGCTAATTTACAAAGTTTTAATGCTTTAACGCAAATCTGTAAATTAAAATTTTATTAACAATCAATTTTATTTTTATAAAATTAAAAAATTAATAGAATAATAAACAATACCGTTGGTGAAACTCCAGAGTGATCAAGAATATGTTGAGCGAGTGACAAAATACAAATTGTCTCTACACATTCTTGCCATTTTAATTTAAATTTCTCCGTCATTGTTATGAGACCATCGAGAAGTGCTCCGAGTAAAATTGGTCTTTCAGTTATTGGTTCTCCATCAAGTAATATTTTAATAGAAGATTTTTTCTGACGTTCAGCTTGAGTTTTAACACAACAATCAGATGAATTTTCAATTGCTGGAGCATAATTTTTTAATACATAACACATTGTTTGAAAAATAATTATTGCTACATCCTGCAAAAAAGAAATTTAAAAAAAAGGATAGAGAATAAAAATAACAAAATCGGGTAAAAAATATAAAAATAGTTGAAAACTATTTTCATACCCTGTCCATAATATTGATAATCTCCATTAGCATTTCAATTGATGACTTGCAAATTAATTCCAAAGGAAGATCAGTTTTTAATATTACATCTCTCACATTGTAACATATTCTTTGAATTGCAGTACATGTTATTTCAAACATTTTGTTAATATATATTTCAAAAAAGTCATGCATTGTACGTTTTGCTCCGTAAGTTGAGGTCAACGGCATTACCTATAAAGTTGGAAATAAAACATTTTTAGAATAATAAAAAATAGAAATTAATTTTTTTTTCTACAAGCTGAAAAATTGATTTAAAAAAAAAAACTTACCATTAAACAAATAACTTGATGTTCAAATTTATGTGGCAATCCTAAAGAAAATTCACAAAGTGATTTGAGTTTTTTCCAATAAATGAAAGAGTATTTATTCATTCTGACAATGTCAAGAACATATTTCTTGGAGAGAAGTAACGTGCTCATATAACAAAGACCAAAACGAAATTTTTCATTAGCTTCATCATCAACCTTCTCCAATGGAGCTTTAATTCCATCCTTTAATCTTTTAAACAATGAAAGAAGCAATAATTTGAGTATATGCTGTAAAAAACGAGTACTGATACAAGCTTCAAAAAGAGCTCTTAATCGTGTTTCTAAATTAGCAAGCTCTTCAATCAATGAAGGAATAGTATTGTCCAAACTGTGAAAAAGTGTATTTTCAAGAATGCTGGTCAATAAATCTAAAGTAGTGCACAAAAGAGCATTATCATTCATATAATTTTCTTCCAAAATCACATGAGTTTGTGCATTGCATATATTTTGTGTCAAGGGTGACACAGCAGCAATAATAATATCTTTGCAAAAATTTGTATTTTTTGATTCATAAAGTAAAAGTGTCCAAACAAATTTTTGACTCTCTCTTGTTACGTAAAGCGTGTGATTTAGATGCGCAAAGCTTATCATATCTCTCCATACACCTGATTCGTTCACCCATTGTCTACCGCTTGAATGTTGAATTAAATTGCACAGCATTGATGTATATGCCATTTTAATAGATGCTGATAAGTCATTTTCACGTAAGCGAAATACGTTGCAAAGTTTATTATAAACATCGTCACAATACCAGATTTTAAATGACTCTTCATCTTGTGCTATTAAACCCACAAGTTTAATTGTAAATGAAATAACAGCTTGACATGGCTTTTGATCTAAATTCCAAATTGTCAAAGCTTTTGGGATCCATGATAGAAAAAGCTGTCGATGATTTTGTCTAACTATTTTAAATAATAAAAAAAAATTAATGAAATCAAAAATTAAAAAAGAAAAAAATCATTTCAACAATACAGTATATATAATTATTCCTTTAAGAAATATGCATTAATGATAAGATTAATATTTTTAAATTAGCAAAATTTATAATTATAGAAAAAGTATTTGAAAATTTTCTTAGGTTAGGATTACAGAAAAGTGAAAAAAAAATAATTCAAAATTACTCACGTTCTGTTTTGTCATCGGCAATTTGTGTCAATAATAAATCAAGATAAGTTGTTGAGACAATATTATAATTAGGTAACAAAAACAATTGTAGTACTTCTTCTAATTTTTCAAATTTCTTGAATGATGTCATTATCAACAAACGAGTTTGACTTATCGAATCAGTACTGTTTTTTATAATTGCTTATCATAGATCGTTACACAAGTTTTCTTCAGTAGCACAAAACCACAATGAAAAGAGTAACGATAACTGTCATTCCTTGTTAATGACGGATGTACGACTGAGTAGCAAAATCTAAGAAAAGACTTTAATATCATGCTATAATGATTCTTCAATATCTTAAAATCTATCATTTATTGATATATTAAAATTAATTTATATACCTATAATCAATTTATAAGAAATCTTTCTCCACTTTCTAAATTGTTAATTTCTCTCTCTCTCTCTCCGTCTCTCTCTTTTTGTATAAATATATCCACGTATATGAAGTTGAATTTTTTTTCTATTATTTTTTCTTATATTTATCTTTCCTCTTTAATAAGTAGTATTAATCAAAACAAACGAAATGAACAAAATAAATATAAGATGTTCATAAACATGTAATCTCAATAAATTTTTCAGTATCTCAGATATTTTTCTTGCAAAAATTTTCATTTATCAAAAAATTATTTCAGTTTTAAATAACATTTTCATAATAAAAAAACATTCGGCTTTAGAACAATTAATTAAAAATACTTGTGTTTTTAAATATATAAATCTTTGTTTTTTTTTCTAAAAAATCATCTGAAAATAAATAAAAATTAAAACAATGTAAAATAAATAATAATTCTGTTAATATTAAAATACCTGTCAATTTTAATTATTAAAGAATTTCTAAACAAATCTTATGTTTTATAAAAAGTAAATTAATATACCTGAACCTAACCTTAAAATTTAAATATGGACACAATGTAAACACGAAAATAATTTCAAGACAAAAACTGCGATTTAGATATTCTAGGAAACTTTTTTTTATTACTAAACACTTATGGATGATTGTCCTAATTATTAGAAGAGTTGAAGTGCATTATATATATACATATAAATATAGAAACTCCATATTTATTGGAAATTGCACGCCATGAATGTTTTGCTCAGTTTTGCTGCGTGCGTCCGTTTTCGTTTTCGGAGTCAGTGCCAATGGATGTAAATGTCAAAAAATATTTAAAGAATACTATGTAATGGGAATTATTTTAAATAACAAAACACTGTGATATTATTTATTGAGAGATCAGCTGACAATAATCGAACAGACAGGTACTGTAAAAAGCTTTTGATATTGTTACGTAATGCAAATTAACCATTCTAACCTAACTTTCATTTGTTTTGATTTTTAAGCATCTTCATATTAATATTTAATAAACAATTATTTATAATTGTCATTTCAATCAAAAACTAATAGAGGCTTAACAATATTATTAAAATGTAAAAAATTTCATATTTAATCTGAAAATTAGGTTTAATTGTGGAAAAATTAATTTTTGACAAATATTATTATTTTCTCACTAATTTAAAGTTTACATATATATTTATTGATATGTTTGGGCGAAAAGAAAAATAATTTTAGATTTAAAAGATAATAATAATAAATTATAGAACATGGAGGAAAGTCGGAAAAACATGAGTGCAAATGAAAATTTAGGTTTAACTACGTCAGCTGCTCTCCAAATTTTGAAACGTGATATTAAACGAGTATTAGATGAATTTGAAGAAGAATGCAGAAAAAATAAGTAAGCTTATTATAATAATTATTTTATATTAATAAATTAAAATAATTTTTCTTCAATGTCATATATTAATAAATTGATAATTATTAACAGGAAAAGTAGGGCTTGGTTAAATGATGCCTTACATCATCGAAGTCAATATACAACCCTCTGTTGGACTTCAGCTTTAGCACTTTTAATTAATGCTATTTCCCTCATAGCTGTTTTTTTCACTGTTGAGGAAGCTGCAAGGTATATTTAAAATTTTTATATATTTATTTATTTCCTTTTTTATTATTAATTTGATACAATAATAATGAAAAACAATTTTACAGATATTCAACATTATTATACGAAGGACTGATCATCTTATGTCTAGTCGTTTTTAATTTTATTTTAGTAGCCTCGGATAATAAATTACGACATAAAGAAATTCCACATAGAGTTCGAATTCTTATTGAACAATTAGAAGGTGAGTTTTTTTTTGAGATGAAATTATTTTTTATGAAACATGATTTTCTAAAAAGAAATGTATTATATTTCAGCTGCTAGTTATTTGTGCCATTGGAATGCGGAAAATTATCCACATTTATGTAGTCCTCTTTCACCTTGTATTACCTTGCAATGGACCTATCGTGAAGGTCAAATAGTTAATTTACCATGGGCTCTACTTGTTGCTGGCGACATTATAGTGATTAAACCAGGACAGCAAGTACCTGGATATTGCGTGCCAATTGATGTAAGTTTTATATTAAATTTATTTTATATAAATGAATTTATAATTGTCTTTAAATATTTCTTTTTTTAGGATCCAGAAGCTCCTATTTTGCACGCAAAAGAAATTTATAGTCCACCTGTTCATGGTTCAAATGAAGTTTTTTCGACACCTCAAGCAAGAATTCCTTTAAAAAACAAAAATTACAAACTTAAAGAGACTCCATATTTGACAAATTTAAGATTAGCTCTTGAACAAGCATTGGATCGTCCTGTAACATATCATAATCGTGAACGTCATCTTGTTATGATATGTTGTATTGAACAACTCTTGTATCCAATTCTCCTGATTATTGTCCTTTTAGTTAATTTACTTCGTTATCTCTATCTTTCTGAATTTTTTGGTATTGGTCCTTGGTATGAAATGTTTTTATTTCAACCAATTGCTGTTACTCTGCCACTCTTGCCTATTAGTTTTCCTGTTTGGTGGATTTTTCTAAATTGTTTTGGAATGGCAAGGTTCAAAGCATTATTCAAACTTTATCAATCTTCGAAAAGAACTCAGGTTTGTTTTAAAATACTAGAGTTAATTTTTTAATAAAAAATATTTTCTTTTTCTCATTTTCTTTAGGCAAATTATTTTATATTCGTATATTCTTTAATATTGTGGTTGAATTTAGTTTCTAGATCCATTTGAGGATGCAGATATTGCTGATCCTTCTCATCCTGATGTTGTTTACAATTGGTCGGAATTAAAAGAATATTTTTTAGATATTCTTTTTGGAAGGGAACATATGATGTCTAGATCTGCTAGTATTCTTCACGTTCTTGGTTCGGTGACGGTAAAAACAAATGGAAAATTCTTTTTTTTTTCTCTATAATTTGATATTTTCAATTATTTAAATTATTAAAAATTATATTTAAGGCACTTTGCTGTATTGATAAAAAGGGAATACTTTCTTGGCCAAATCCAACAGCGGAAAAAGTCTTCTTCTTGAGAAATGCTAACTCTGTCTCAAGAACCTCAAGGTAAGTTAATTTCACGGTTTTTTCTTCTGAATTACTTTTGTTTCGAATGTTTGATTTTAAATTGATAATTCTGATTCCAGTACAATTAGTATTGACAAAATTACGGAGACTTCTCGACAAGGGGATTCATCAGTGAAACAGGATACAAATAAGAGTTCTTTTTCTCAAAATGGTAAAACATTTTTTTTTTTTTTTTTTTTGAGAAGCTAAAGGATTGAAAATTCAGAATAATATTAAAAATACCTGAAATAAGAAAATATTTCCAAAAATAATTTTATACATATTTATTATATAAATTTATGATAGTTTTTTTTTTTTTTTGATTTATTTAATTTTTGAATTTACTAGCAAAATATAAGGGATGGTAAGATTTGATCATTATTGTCTGAAATTATGGTTTTTAATAAAAATTTCATATTTTTATTTTAGATTAATTTTTTTGTTGTTAAACTTTTTCGCAGATTCATCACACACTGTGGCAGAAGTTTTAGATTTGACACATGATCATGCATTGCCTTTTCGTTTACAATTTGACGATCATTCATGGCGACAATATTTAAATTCCCTAAAACCTCTAGGCTTGGCAATTCTATTAAATACATGTAATATGGATACACAAGAGCATTATACAAAATTTTGTTCACATGTCTCCTGCGAGGCATTGCATAGTGAAAATCTTATTCCAGTGACTAATAGACGGTAAGATTATTCTAAAGAATTTTTAAATAATTGAATTAAAATTAATTGTCACTTAACAATGCTACTGCTTGTTTTCTTGTTTTGACTGATGTTCTCTTTTTGATTAAGTTTTGCTTAGCCTATATCGTTGAGAAAAAAAAAAGAAAACTGTTATAATCCCTATTTAGTTGATAAATATAATCTTTTTGGCATGAATATATTGTATTATTCGTGTTGTCAATGATGTGAAAATAACGAAATTTATCAGCTGCCAGGCACACAGTTTTGAGGAAAAAAGTGGGTATGACGCAAAAAATGAGGCAAAAAAGCAAGTCTATTTAGCAGATGATTCAGGAAGCCCCAGACAGATGTGGTCAGTCCAACGATAACTTTATTCTTTTCTTCACCAATAATTACCGATTTCCCACTATAATGACTCTTTTAATTTTCTTCAAATCGCTCATATTTTATAGATTTCATTTGAAATATCTTAAATTTGATTATTATTATTATTTCTGTTATTATCGTTTTATTTTAATTTGAAAAAAATGGGAAATCGGCTTAGAACATTTTTTATAATTTGGTGGCTTTGGTGGTTAAGTATGATTTTGTAGGAGTTGCTTTAAATCTATAAAAAAAGCTTTACAACTGAATTCTGCAGCTTTGCTTTTTTTTTAATATTATATATATAAAAATTTCCCCTTATTTTTGTTTTAATTTAATTTATCTTCTTTTAGGTGTCTTTGTGAATTGGCCAAACAAATTGGGTTTCAAGATCAGGCTCAAGAAATTTTTCAACTTCAACAACAATTGTCGACTTTTAGACACGTTGTAAGTAATATATTCATACATATTAAAAAATTTGTTTTATTTCATGTTTGAAAAAACTTGTTCTTGTTTACATTTTTGACAAATTGTAAAATTTTTTTTTCAGCAACCAGAAATGGTGCGTCGGGATATTAAATTTGCAAAGTCTTTGAGTATTGCTACAAAATTGAAATTTCCATTTCCACACATGGTGGCGGTTGTTGTGAGGGAAAAAAGTGGAGGAGGTCTACAATTATTAACACAAGGCACTGCAGATATTATTCTCGATTCATGTATTGAATTTTGGGACGGGCAAGATTTGTGTCCTTTATCAACTTCAGATAGGTTTTTGAAATTTGATTATACTTTTTTATTTTAAATTCATAGAATAATATCTATTTTTCATATCTAATTATAATTTACATTTCTTACATAATTTTAAAATATATTTTCTTGTATATAATTTCTAGAAAAAAAGTCCAGGATTTTTATCAACGAACTAGTTTAACTTCTTACTGTAGTGCATTTGCATATAGACCATTGACAAAATGTTTGAATGGAAAAATTTCGAATATCTATTTGGAACTTCCTTCGGACAGTAAACATCTTTATACACCTTATCGAAGTCCAACACCTTTAATGTGGGATTTTAAAAATGTTTTCGATCCAAGAGGGAAGGGAGTTTTAGGTCAATTTCATTCGACTGGTGAGATTTTTTTTAATATTTTTTTTTTTTGTAACGTGAGGAAATTAATGTTTAATTTAAAAAATTATTTGAAAATAGATTCTTTGCTTTGTAATGAGAGTAAAGATGAAGATGTTAATCATGTGGATAGCTGTTTTGAACTCCAGTGCAATCAGGTTTTTATTGGAATGGTTACCATGCAGTATCAAGCTCAAACAGATATGGTACACTATTAAATTATTTACAATTTTTATTATTAAATAATTATTTAATTTAAAATTTAAACAAATCATTAATAATTGTATTTTTTAAGGTGCAATTAATTGAGCAATTAGAAAGAGCTTGCATAAGATTTGTGCATTTTAGTAAAGAAAATGAATTACGTTCTCGTGTTTTCTCCGAGAAAATGGGATTGGAAAGTGGTTGGAATTGTCATATATCACTTCTCAGCGAAAGAAATAGGTAAATATTTCTCTCAGTAACGTACATTAAATATCTAATTTGTTTTCTTGCTTCAGCTTCTTTTCTTATTCTATGCTCAAAAAATGGAGGCAATGTTTTCTGTAGAACAACAAAAAAAAAAAAAAAACAATATTTTTCAATGTGTCCATCTGTTTCAAAAATTCGCGCTTGTTTGTTAGATTCTCATACATATCACTAACATGTTCTAATTTTTTCATCGCATTTTAACATACACAATACACTAATATTATTGAAATATTCTCACTTAATTGTGTGAATGTTTCAATTAAATAAAATTAATTAAACTTTATTCATTCAATTAAATTATTTTTATTATTTTGTAAATTAAAATTGTTATTTTTATTACAATACTGTGTTAATAATATGAGAAAAATTTAATTGAATGAAAAACAATATATATATATATATATATGGCAGTTATGATTCACTATGGAAATATCATTTGTGCGACTAAATGTTGAGTGTAACTAACAAACTAGGTCCGAGAGTCCAGTAGGATGGTGGGTGAGCCAGGCAGCAGCCATGTCCTCACCCACTCCTTCAACTAGATCTCATCAGTATAATCACTCCTGCATGGATGAGGCCAGCAACTTGCTTAATCATGTCGCCCCTCGGTATGTCATAAAGATTTTACAAATTTTCCCCAAAAAAAAAATTTACTGATGCAAATATCTGTATCAGTGGCACTGGCGAACACTAACTTACTAATATTAAAAATTCACCATCAAAAACAAATATTTATTAATAAATGTGTTGTATGAAATATTTTACAAAAAATTGTAAACAATTACAAATTGTTAGTTGATCTTTTATTTCTCATATAATTTATTTGTGTCTCTTAAACTAATTGAGATTTTGGATCGAAAAACAATTTTTCAAAATTTTGGACAAAACGAGTTGCCACAAAAAAAAGAATTTGTAAAATTCTCTTTTGAAGTGAACTATTTCAAATCGATCCAAATTCTTAATTAGAGAGGAAAAAAAATACCATTATTGAAGCATGAAAATTTAATTCAGCTGCATATCTGAGCTCGTTCAATGTGTCAGTGTTACGACAGTGATAATTAAATTGTAGATTGGATAATAATTTACTTTTTTTTTTTTCTATTTCCGTAGCTCCAATTTGGATAATAGTCGAATTATGAGTATGTCAGCGCCAAGTGCAATAAATACAGAATTCACCACTGTTAGATTTGATGATGATACAACAGAATGGAATAATATTGCATCAAATCAAACAAAAAGTGCAATGAGTCACAGGTACAAATTTTTTTTTTTTACAATATTTACCATATAATTTTTTATTAAATACAAATTTCATTTGTGCTCTCATTTTTTTTTGTGTGTAACAGTTTCGATTTCGTCGATAAACAGGAAATTGAAGAAAACTCAGATTCTTCTTCGTAATGAATTTTTTTAAAATTTATTATTAAATATTAAATTAATAGTAGATTCAAAGCTTTGTAGTGCTTAATTCAAATTGTAATTAATTGAATTGAAGTAATTAAGTTATTGATTTAATTATCAGTTGAAGTAAAGTTAATATTTGATTAAAATTGGAGTATTTGATTAAAACATTGATTTAATATTTGTGGATTAAAGTTGATTATTTTTTTTTTAGGGAACAAGATACCGTGAGAAGTGAAGATAGTGTTTTGGTTCAGAGCGTAGATTTAGGATCTGGTCAAGAAGCATGGAGATCATTAAGTTGTCTAACTGATAGTACGGAACAAAGTGCTCCAGTCAATTTTGATTTATCAAATCGGGTATATATATATATATATATTTATAAATAAATTTTCCCCAAGAAATTTGAAAATAAGTTTTGATTAAATTGTTAATATTTTTGTTTTTTTTTCAGGCCAAATTACCGCGAGGTATAGATAAAATTAGGCCACACATCGAAATGATAGACAATGTTCCACTTTTGGTTTCTTTGTTTACTGATTGTAATACAATTGTGACAACGGAAATGTTACATATTATGCAAGACTACGGCGAAGTAGTTTGCGTTCTCGGCTCTGCAGCGAATGCAGAAAATATGCCAATTTTTATGCAAGCTGATGCTGCGTGAGTTTTTTTTTTTTTATATTTATTAGAAAAATATTGAAATTGATTATTTAAACTAAAATTTAGTTTGAAAAATTTTATTTTATTTAAATTAAATTTTACTACATGTTTTTTTATTTACAAAATTTTTTCGGGAATAAAAATGAAATGAATTTTACAAATAATAACCAGGTGATTTGTAACTTGATTTGTAAATTGTATTATTGGCAAATTTTGACGATGTTAAAATTGGACGATATTTGGGGTGACAATTTTTCCTTTTTTGATAATTGGGTTTTTTAAATGAAAGACGATTTATAGTTAAATTTTCAATTTTAGCTTCTGATACAAATGAGCATTTAGTTTTTACATTTTGTTTTCTTGATATTCCGGGATTTTGGAAAGATTCAGTCATTGTTGTTTTACATTCCATTCGTTCTGGATGTTGAAGTTTTCCTCTCTTTGGTTTAATTGGTAATGTCTTTACAAGACCTGGGTTAAAATATGAATTTAAATAAGTACTTGTAAAATCACCACAGCCTTCGCATTTTAAATGATTTCTTGGAAATATTTTTTCAATTGGTTTTTCAAATTGTCCCGTATATGATAATTGATTAGTTGTATTGAAATCAATTATTCCAGTGACTTTTGAATTTTTGCACTTCTTTAATTTAATTTCAAAAACTTTGTTATCTAAGTAAGATTTTTTGTAAGTTGTTTCGGATTCTATTGGAATAGTTGGAGATTTGTAGATTTTATTTCGATAAGCTGACAATCTTTTTTGAGGTTGTATATAAACACAACACTTATTTTCAATGTTAATCATCGTTGAAAATTTATAAAACTTTTATCAAATTGTTGAAAAAAATTGTTTAAATCGTTGAGAAAATTTTTAATTAATTATTTTGAATTTCACTAAATTAAATAAATCTTTGTCTAAAAAGAATTTATGTTAATACATGTTAATTTTGTTTTTAAGGGTCTTTTGTTTATTCTTTGCATTTAACAAAATTAAAAAATTTACTTTAATTTTTGTGAAAAATAAATTTTAATTTTTGTAGAGTTGCCGTGGAGCCATTGTATCCTCAAGTGTGCCAAAGAGTTCCTGTTCTGATATCGACAAAAGAAGAACAAGGACCCTCACCAATTGATCTCAGTCGAAGTTTAAATTCTATCGCGTGTTCTCTAAGTGTAAGACGAGAAGATCCAATAGCAATATTTCACCTCGTTATGGAGGTAAGTCAACCATTTAATTTTATAGAAACAGAGGCAATTATTTTTAAATTATTTTATTCTTTATCATTTTTATTTTCTAGGCTCGACATTATATGAAATGTCTATGGAACTGTGTACAATTTTGGTTAGGCTGTGTAGTAACTCTTGCAGCAGTTCAAGCAATATCTGGTTTTTTACTCTTGCCACCTTTATTTTCAATAGGACAAGTTTTATGGTTAACGTGTTTAATTATTCCACTTCTTTCAATTTCTATGGTAGCTACTCCAACAGACTCAACAATAATGCAACGAGCTACAGGAAAAAATCAATGTATCATAAATGGACAGGTAAAAAAAAAAGATTTAGTTTCAAATATTATAATTCATAAATTTGATCCTTTCTTTGATAATTTAATTTATTATTTCTTGTGATTTTCTTTTCTTCGTAGGTTACATTGTTTGTTCTTTGGTGCTACGGTAGTAAATTTTTACCCACGGTGATAACTGTCATTTTATCACAATATATTTCACTGATGACTTTATGCTTATCAAATGAAATGGAACATTCTAAATGCTTCTACATGTACCCTTTATTAAATGCTAGTGAATCTTGGGGAGGATGGAATCAATTAAAATCAAGTAATATGATTCTTATTGTTCAACATTTTGCTCTCACAATTACAGTGTTACATTTTGGTAAATATTTAATTTTTCATCATTTAAAATTAATTATTTTTAAATCTCATCTTTGTCACAGAACAAACAGTTCTTAATGTAATATTTTTTTTCAGTTACAATATCTATAAGTTTTGTTCATCGAGAATATCCAATTTGGAGGAAGCAACCCTTCAGTAATTGGATGTGGTTTTTAACTGTTTTTATTGGGTAAGTAAATCAAATTAAACATTTATTGAAAATGAAATTAATCATTAAATCAAATTTTTGTTCGTCACATTATAGAATTTTCTTTTTTTTTTTAGTTTATGTACTCAAGCTGGATTCTCTGGAATGATATTTTACGATTTTTGGATCCAAGAAGAAAGCCAAAGACTAGGAAATTTATTAACAATTGTTCCTCTCGCTTTTTTATCTACAGTACCTTTAGTATTTCTCATTAATGAATTCGCAAAGTGGCAGGAGATCAAGTAAATCTAGAATATATTAAATAAATTAATTAATTTTTTATGATATTATAATTATTATTTATTTCAGAGTAAATGTGAGATATCAGAAACGAGCTCGTTTGGAATTTGGTACCAAGCTTGGAATGAATTCTCCTTTTTGATTCTTCTTGCAGTGATTTGTAAAAATAGAAGAAAAAAGAAATAAGTATTTTTAATTATACATCAAAATTACGTATTTTTTATACTATAAGTGAATCTCTTGATAAAATGGACAAAATTTATAATCAACACAAATAATTCTTAGCACTTTGTTCTTTTTATATTATATATTTAATGAGATACAGTATTGATATTGTCCATCTTTTTAAATTTATTTTTATTCAATGGAAAAATTAAGAAGTTTATGATTATTTTTTCTGAAAAAATATCTTTTTGGAAAAATTAAATTAATGATTTTTTCCAAAAGATAGTTTACATCACAAAATAGTTTTAGTTAAGTTAAAGTTCTGATCGTTTTAATACAATACTTGAAACGCACAATTACTGCCATAATAAGTAGCATTAATATTTATTTGTTCACATACTAGTTATTATTTATTCAATATTTTGCCAAAGACTCGATAACGCATTTTCATTGTGAAAAGTGTAAAATTTTATCATCTTTAACAAAAAAAAAAAAAAAAAAGTATTGAAATTATTGTTTAAAATTATAAAAAGAAAGTATTTATATTTTTGTACAATACAATTTTACTGTGCAAAATTTAAATTTACAACATTTATTCAATATAGAATATTTGTGAATAATTATCAAAATTTTTGAAAAATAATTTTTAAATACTAGACAATTTAAATAACAAATTTAGATATATTAATGATTTGTTTTCTTGCCATATTATTTGCTTAAAATATTTTGTGGCGATAATTTTAGTTTATCAGCGAATCATTGCTAATAATTATATTTTAAGATTATAAATTTGTGTTCATAGTAGTGAGAAAGTGTGCAAATAAGATTGTTCAATTTAATTTTAATGATGAAAATATATTTTTAAATTTTATGTCAGTTTTATATTTATTATACTTCTAAAATACTACCCAGTTATTAATTTACATTTTAATTTTTAATGAAATAACTATTTTTTTTTTTATTTAAAATTTAATTTTTAAAAAAGAGAATACATTTTAAAATTCAAAAATATAAGGATAAATTTTTATAAAGTTGGTACTTGTGGCAGACACACTGCTAAACAGCTGATTTTGACAGCAATGATAACATTAAAAAGTTAGTTGTGTAAATTTTTTTCTGAATCTCATTCTTCTGTGTTATCTTTATTAAATGATGTTGATCAAGATATTATTTAATTGTTTTTCTAGTCATCTCTTGAATTTTCATCATATATTTTTAGTTGAATGCAATAATGTAATGAGTAAAGCATAATTCTAACCTCTAAGCATAAAAGTTTTTTTTTTTTTTTTTATAAAAATGCTAATCTCCGTTTTCGGAAATTGAATAGAAATAATATGGAAATGGAAATTGTAAAAGAAGAATTAAGAGTACCAAGTGAATATTTAAAGTTAACAGATGGAAGAATTTGTGCAACTGTACACAGAAGTTGGTTGACCAGTTTGTCATGTTTAGGTTCTCTCAATTTTATAAAGCATGAACGACTTTCCGCTGAGGAAATAGCTGCCCAGCCTTCTCTAGAATTATTAGGGACCAACTGGCTACAAATTTATATAAAGGTAAATATATTTCTTTTTAATAAATAGCAATATTTTATATTTTGCTTTTTTCATTTACAAAAATTTTTATTATTCTAGGTTTATGAAAAGCAAAATAAAAATGCCATTCCTTTACCAAGGGGTAGACCATCTGGAAATTCAAAAGTTCATACAGATCTTACATTTACTCAAGTTTTGCACTACGTATCAGATACGAATTATCGAAATTTATGGAAAGAAGCATATAAAAAATATTATAGTAAGTCTTGCATTTAAAAATTTTTGTTCCTTTTTTTCAAATAATATTAAAGAAATTGAAAAGTTTATCAACAAATGCATTTTTAATGAACAGGTCCTTGGACAAATTTCGAGCAAAAAGAACAATTAAACATAAATTCTAATACAACAGACGCTCAAGTTATGCAAGAGATACTAAGTCGAATTTACGGTTGTACGATAGTTCAAATTAATAAAGGTAAAATAGTATCGATAAAATCCGGCTTGGAAACTCAATCGCACTGTAATCTATTACCTGTGCTATTTGCAATTGAAACTTCTTCTGCCTTTTTAACGTTACATGAGCAAACGGCACAATATTCTCTTCGAGAGTGAGTGCTTTCTATTATTTTTTTAATTTGACGATACAGTTGTTTAATTTATTAAATATTTTATTTTTTTAATAATTTATCTACTATTATTATTATTATTATTATTTAAATTTCAATGTGTTTATTTGATTTTGCATTTTATTTTTTAAAGAGAATATTATGTAATTTATAAAATCTTAAAACCCGCATTTTAGATGTGTTACCTACAGTCCTGCAGCATTATCCACGTACTCTGCAAAGCCTCTTTTTCTCGTTTATCAGCTGCTTCGCTTTTCTAGAGATCTGCACGACCTGGGCCTAGTCCTGGGTGAAATCACGCTTAGCGACATATTGCTTATGGATAATCTTACTATACAGGTACTAAATTTAAAATTGTTTCATTTTTTTTTAAAATATTATCCTCTAAATGTTTTATTTTTATTTATTTTCTAAATTATAATTACATATATCGTAAATAACAGGAATAATGAAAAAAAAAAACAAAAATCTTATTAAATATTTAAAAATTTATCTAAAATTTTTGTATTTATAAAAGAAATAAAAAAATTATTTTTTCTTCAGGTTTTGCCAAAGTTGAGCGACAATATTTATCTGTGGCCCGATTCTAGTCCCGTGAATACTACAGTGACAAGAAGCAAAAGTTTCTCAAAATATGAATTGTCCAAAGATATTAAGACAAATTTTGGCGAAATAGGATCTCCCGATTTTGGTGCTAATGAAAGTATTGAAAAGCTTTGCGAACTTTGGATTCACGGTGTTATCAGTAATTTCGATTATCTCACATTTTTAAATAATTTAGCTGGTAGAAGATATGGTGATCCTAGTTGTCATCATGTAATGCCATGGGTAACGGATTTTTCATCGCGATACGGAGGAAATTGGAGGGATTTGACAAAATCTAAATTTAGATTAAATAAAGGAGATAGACAATTGGATTTAACTTTTGATTCCGAGTCATCGGAAGTAAGGAAATATTTATATTTGTAAAATAATTTTTAAAATTTAGTTTATTATAATTTGAATATTTCTATTGTTTTTTCAGGTTGGACATCATGTATCTGATGTTTTGTCGGAGATCACTTATTATGTTTATCTTTCAAGAAGATATTCTAGATCAGTTTTGTGTAAACATGTAAGACCACTTTGGGTTCCTGGAGAATATCCGGTTTCTATACAAAGAATGCATGACTGGAGTCCAGACGAATGTATTCCACAATTTTTCAAAGATCCAAATGTTTTTAAAGTAAGTTTTAAATTTTCAAAACAATATTATTGGAGGAATATTTTTAATTTATTTATTTTGCTTTTTGTAGTCAATTCATGAAGATTTGCCAGATTTAGGCATTCCAGCTTGGGCAACATCTCCCGAAGATTTTATCGAAAAACATCGAGAAGCCTTGGAAAGTTTATACGTATCGGAAAGGTTACATCACTGGATTGATTTGACTTTTGGATACAAGTAAGAAATAGTAATAAATTGTTATTTTTCTATTAGTAATGAAAATTTTTTTGTTTTATTTTGTAGACTTTCTGGTTCAGCGGCAATAAAATCTAAAAACGTTTGTTTACAATTGGTGGATAATCATACAAGTTTAACAAATTCTGGTGTTGTACAATTATTCACACAACCTCATCCACAAAAAATTGTACCGTCTCCTTATTGGAGTAAAACTCCGCCCAGGTTACAAGTAACAAATCCAAATGGAAAAACTGGTTCTAGTAAGTCTTCTTATTGTAAATATTTAGATAAATGCATTAAAAAATATTATTATGAAATAAATTTGCAGAATCTTCTGGTGAGAAAGTGAGTGAAGATGAGGATCACAGTTCCGGTATTGAAGAAGAAGAAATTCAAGTTACAACTTCAAATACCACACGTTCTTCTCCCTTGGCCTTGAGTCGATTACTTAGTAGATCTCGTGGATCTTTACTATCAACTGAAGATTCCTCTAAAGATAAAAATATCCCTCAAACGATATTTCTACCCAAAGATTATAATCCAATTTCTGCACTCGTTCAAGTTGAAACCAGACATTCATTTCTCAATAAAGTCAGTCAAAAAATTTATTCACCTAAAATGACAACTTCCGATGGAAATACAAATTATAAACAGGTATTTATTTTCATTATAACAATACTAATATAATAAAACAAAAGATATAATAATTTCTTTTTTAAAAAAATAGGTGGTTGCCTGTCGTAGAATAAAAGAACAACAAATTCTTGGCTGTTTAATTGTTGAAATATTTATGTCGAGTAAATTTCGTGCAACATGGAATATGGAGAAGATGTCTTTTGAAAATCGTCTCACAATGTGTTTAAATGCTGTGAAATCATCACCAGAATCATTACCACGTTGTGTGAAAAATGCCGTGGCTCTATTGCTACAAGTAGATGTTATACCAAAGAGTTATAATGCTGATTGCATTGAATCTAATGTTCGACTTGATTTCAGTGAGAATTCATTTCGTTATCCAACTGTAACGCACATGGGACTACCTCCACCATCTGCACATCAATTTCTTCAACCTGTTCTCTCAGGTGGTCTCTTTCCTTCATCAAAACATTTTCAACATCTCTTTAATGTCGTTGAAATGATTCAGGAATACAATCTTTTAGTAAGAAAATTAAATTTCGTTACATATAGAAGTGATGATAATGAGGCTATGAATAAAACAAGAATTCGTTATCTTTGTAAAATAAGTGAATGTAAAGTAAAAGCATTAGCAAGAGAATTAGATCGACTTCTAGCAAATACAGGAGTTGCCGCTGAGGCAAATTTGCAATTGATTGTTCCGCATGTTAAACAAATAATGGAGGAACCATACAGTGCTGTTCTTGCTGCTTGGTATCTTTTTGATCCCATTGCAAGGTAATTTTGCCTAATTACAATAATTTATCAATAAAATTAACAAAATTGTTAATAAATAAATTTAATTATTTTTGTTTCAGAGCATTGGGTCCAAAAGAAACAGCGGAAATATTTTTAGTACCAATAATTAAATTATATGAAAATGGATCTGTTATGGATACATTAACTATGACTGATATTCTTCCAACGGGATTATTAGCGAAATTTAAAACAATGCGTCTTTATCATCGTAGTTTTCTTTTGAAACTGATGGTTAGACTTGGTCTTCGTAGATTTTTAGATAATTTTATTACACCTTTAGTAGAAGCTGTGGGAGGCTATCGTGATCATTTAATGGGATCTTCAATTTCTAATATTCATAGATCCGGAAATTTAAAGTGAGTAAATTCTGCAATAAAAAAAAAAAACAGATATTAATAATTTCAGTATATAATAATAATATTCAATTTTAAGAACTTGTGACTTGAGTGGTAGCTGTGGAGATGGAGACGCGATTTTATCTCCTCTAGATGAAGATTCATCAGTGGAGTCTGAAAATAATGTAGTTGGCAGTTGTGCAAGTGGAAGTCATGACTATATGAGTAGTTCTGCAAATGATGAAGTTGAAGGTTTTTTTTTTTTATATATTCGAAAAATTGATTTTTCACTTATCATAATGATTTTTTTGTCATTCATGTAAATTTCTTTTTTCAGAGGTATTTACAATGGACGCAGAAGATCCTATCTCACCGTCCATAAGCAATGTTTCCAATTATAATCCTGATTTTAATCTTGAGCTCAATTTGAATTTGAATGATGATTTTACCGATGATGCAATTAAATGTTCTCCATCGAGTTCCGTTCAATCGCCGACAATTCCAATACCAAAACGATTGGATAACAGTGCAAGTAGATCTGTTATTGATTTCAATAGCATTAGCTGTAATGTTGGTAGTAAAACATCGAGCGAAGATGTTCCACTTGGTAGTTCGTGTACAGCAAGTATTCCAGAAGAAGCTTTTACGAGTAATACTCTTTCGATAGAGTTTGAAACTTCTCAGACTTCAAGAACTCAAGAGGAAGTTTCGGAAAAATTACGAAATGATAAAGAAGATGATACACAAGTTGAACACAGTCACAAAAGACTTTTCCCCGTGGAATGTACAGTTTCGGAAATGAGTACAGAATCTGTTATTTGGTTATCTCATCGTTTAGGACCTGTTCTAACGGCAAGATATTTATCACGAAATCTTTTGAGAATGTTGACACTCTGCTATGCGGGTAGGGAAAATCTATCGCCGGTAATTTTAGAAGATAGCGTCAGTGCTGATGATGGGGATTGGACTATTGTTTCGGGTGATTTAAATGCTGCGAAAATTTTGGAGTGTCTTTCTGCAATTGTGGGTTTGTATTTTGTAGAAAGAAATTTTCTTTTATTATTCTGTTTATTTTCTATTTTTATTCAAATTGAAAATTTTCTAAAATTTTCCTATTTTTAGGATTGTATGGAGAACAAATTGTGATATTACAATATTTTGCTCACGCCGCTGAACTTTTGCTTCTTTGCAAACGAAAACTAACGCCGAATTTTGAAGGCGGTTTAGTTTCGTGTCTTTCTCTTGTAATAAGCATCACGTCTTGCCTTAGTGACTCCACTTTAATGGATACACTACATGTGAGATTAAACATTTTTTTAATATTCAAAATGTTTAGTATTTTTTTTTTTATAACAAAAAAAAAATGGTTTTATTTTTACAGGAAACTATCGTGAAATCTATTTTGCATCCTAGTATAAGAATTCTTTCGACAACAAGATTTACATTTCCAAATGGAACAATTGCTCGTGCAACGTTAGCTGAAAAATATTTGCAAGCACTTTATATTCTTAGCGTACGTTTGGGAGTAACTATGACAAAAACTCACTTGGCTGTTTCAATTCAAAGATTTTTTTTAACTTTTGATAAAGTTTTCTACGTTGTGAATAATACGGCAAAAATTGTGAGTCAAGTGTTAGCTAGTGATGAAGATACGAGGTAATTAAATGTTTTTAATAATTTTTCACGTGGGTAAATTTAAAAAAATATATAAACTACTTTTTTAGAACTGATACTTTGCATCATGTCCAATCAACGGAAAGTGCTGTGATGGACTTAGCGGATTCTTTTTCACCACCAATTTTAGAAGGAGAAGAAGGTTTCGATCCACTGAGAAATAAAGTACGTTAAGTGTATAGATTAAATACTAAACTATTTTCTTTTTTTTTAATGAATTTTTTATTTTCAGGCATTTGAAGAATTAAAAAATGTCTTCACTGCAGATTTAGCGCACAAAGCCTACGTTTTGTTTTATCGTTTCTTTGGAGATGGATTTTTGGAACAAATGCTCAAAAATAATCAATTAATTCGAATTCTTTGCCAAGATTATGAGCAAACAATGAGATTGACATCTCCTGTATCAGGTAATTATTATTCTTACAAGAAAATTTCTTTTGTTGATTAATATTCACTAAAATTACATTTATTAATGACTAATTTAAATATTTTCTTTTTTCAAGAAGATACTTTGAACGATGTATTCCTGATTGAAAATGAAGCTTCCGACAATCAAGAACTTTTTGAAAAGGAAACTGGTTTTGGAAATATAGCAGTAATTGGAAATCGTATCGAAGTGCAGGTCTTTTGAAAATTAGACCAAAAAAAAAATTTGTTTTCAAATTAAATTTGTCATTAAAATTTTTGTTTTTTCAGAGAGATAACTTGTCACCACCATCGCAAACAATTTCCGAAGGGGGAAATTTATCACGAGAATCAAGTTCTTTGTATCTTGGACGACAACTACGAGGAAATTGGCTTGCTTATTGGGAACATGAAATTGGCAGACCAGATAAGGATACGACTTTAAATATAAAACAAATTAAACTTCAGAGTTTTAATGGTCACACAAGTAGTATTAGATCCACTTATGTTTTGGACAATGAAAATAGTTTTATGAGTGCATCTAGGGATAAAACTGTGAAACTTTGGAGCTTGAGAAGTCAGGTAAATTATTAAAATTGATTTTTTTTTTTAAATCATTTTTTATTTTTGTTTTTTTTGCAGGGTGATGGAAGTACAATTTCCTCTTGTCAATACACGTACACAGGACATAAAAAATCAATTTTAGGTTTAATATTTCTTGAATCATTGCGATACGCTATCAGTTGTGATGGCAATATTCATTGTTGGGATCCTTTTATGGGTTCGTTGTTAGGATGTCCTGAAAGTCCACGTCCAGTACCTGTTAATACTCTAGTAGCAAATCCTGCTCCATCGACAACTATTCTTGTCGCCACGACTGAAATCACATTAAGAGTTATTGACTGTAGATCTTTTCAATATGTTAATGAAATGAAAGTAAGTAAAATTAAGATTAAAAATAAGTAAATCAACAAAATGGATAAATTAAAAAACTATTTGAATTTATTGTAATGTAAATATATTTTTTAAAATCAAGGTATCAATGAATCCTGCGGGTTTAATTCGATGCATCGCTGTTGCTCCAAGTGGAAACTGGGTGGCTTTAGGCCAAGCTTCCGGTTATCTTACTATTTTAGACATACGCACAGGTCTTATAATTGCTTCCTGGAAGGGTCACGATTGTGAAGTATGTTCTTATTTATTTATTTTATATAAACAAGTTTTTATATTGTCTTAACTCATGGGCAAAAAAAAAATATATTTAACAGGTTTTACAATTGCAAGTTCTAAACGAAACAACGTTAATTAGTTCTTCATTGGATCAAACCATTGCTGTCTGGAGTGCAATTGATGGAAAGCTAAAGTTTCACATGAAGTAAGATAATTTTTTTTTATATTGCGTTTAGAATTACAAGATTTTTTTTCAATTAAAATTTTCAAAGTCGACAAATTATAAATAAGGTTTTTTTTTATTTGAGTTCTCGTAAATTTTTTTTTCAGAGGTGTTACAGAACCAGTTCATTGTCTTTCTGTTTATGAACAGCAACTCGTGACAGGAACGACAGCAAATCGTATCGGTGTTCATTCATCTGTAGACGTAACTGCACCTTATTCGTCTTCTAAATTGAGATCAGATGCATTTAAAGGTATTATGACATCTCTTACTGTTCTACCTCTTAACAGACTATTACTTTTAGGTGCCGATAATGGCATTATTACTCTACTTTGCTAAACTGTTTTACGCAAAGTAAAAATAGAAATTGTAGTGAAAATTTATAATTATTTGTACATAAAAATAATAGTTTATAAAATTAATTTGTATAGAATAAGTAAACACTTTTTTTTAGTGTTTATAAAATAATTGTACATATTAAATTAATATAGGCATAATATGAAAGTAGTAGATAAAATTGTAAAAATAGAAAATTGATCATTATGAAGAAGTGTAAAATTTTTTTTTGGAATTTTACAAAAGAAAAGACTATTAAATCTTCATAGATAATATTTTAAGAAATTAGAATAGATCTTCACGTGGTCATTGAAGATTTTTTCTTTTTTTTATAAATGTACAGTTTAAGGGAGTAAGAACCATGTCTTTGTTAATAATATTTAATAGGAAATATTTTGTAATAAAAACATTTTTATTTATTAAACAAACAAAGAATGTATAAAATTTACCAAAAACCTTTTCAGTTCGTTAAAAAAAAAATCATCGTATATTTATATCCATTCTTGATTTTAAAACACATATTACAATTTCTGAAGATAATTTAAAAATTCCAACGTCAGCAAGTATTTCTTTTGTTTCGTTTTCTGTTCCATTTTTTAGAGCATCGATGAGCAATAAAGCTGATCCCAAAAGCATGTTTAATAATGAGCAGGCTTCCCGCATTCTGTAAATAAGTTGAAATGTTTATTACAATCTTTTTTCTACAACTTCAAAATTATTTCATTTTTTTTTTTTAATTAGAATTATTTTTTCTAGATAAAAAAAAAAAAAAAAATCTTTTTTCATTCAAATGCTATTACCGTGGAAAATATGATTCGGGCTTGCTAGTATAGAGTCCAAATAAAGGAAACAAATTTCGTACAATATCATATTGTAATTGTGAAGCTCCACCAGAATTGAATTTGTTAACTAAAACCACTTGCTCGAAAAAATACTGAAAATTTATTATAATTGTACATTTGTTTTTTTTATTATAGAGTAATTAATTATTTCACATGATTATAAATATTATTTTAATAACTTTTAACTTTAGCTTTCTTACCAAATCAAGTTGTGATGCAAGATTTCGCCAAGCTTGATTAAATAGAGGTAATGCCAGAGCTTCATTAAGAGCATAAAGGCGAAGAGCCAATTCTTGAAACATTGGACATCCACTTGGTGTGACTGAAAGGGAAAGAACTTCCTTCTCAGATTGCATTGCAAACCATCTGTAAAATGTTGAGGTTTTAGATTTCTCTAATTTTTTTTTTCTTTTTCAATTTTATTTTACATTATAATTAGTAAAAATTATTTTATTTACTTATCAGTTCTGTAAGGTCTGCTCTTTGCTTTAACATCTAAAGCCACGGAATCACTGATCTCCGTGACCAATTTCTTTTCCAGTCTTTGAAGAAGAGCTATAGCATCATCAAATACTGTTCCATGCTCCTCGGTAACATCTTCAAAAATATTTTCACCAATGTCTGTTGCTATTTCTACAGCCTCAAGTTGCTTTTTATAGAAATGAAGTTTCAAAAAGTGCTGCAAAATAGTATTTTTTTAAAAAATAAACTAATTTATTTTTGTAATTTTAATTTTTTAAACAATTATCTTACGACAGTGACACCCCATTCGGAAAGAACTGTTTGTACGTAATTCAAGGAATTTAATATTCGTGGCATTAGAGATTCCAGTGGATCCGCATAATCTTCATGCAATAACTGCAATAATCGCACTCTCCAATCATCAATCAATTCCAATTGTAATTCCAAAAATTGTGCTCTAAATTTAAATGAAATTAATTTTATTAACATTTTTTTTTGTTTCTTAAAATCTGTTATGTGAAAAAGCCATTTATAAAAACCTATGTCCAGGCTGTGGAAGATGATTGTAGCGATCCGAAATTGTTGTGAGAAGATTTAGAAAAGCTTCTGCACATTCAGTTACTTTTAAATTATCAACATCGGGTCCAGGTAATTTTTCCCAAGCTGTTGTTGAACTCAGTATGGCATCCATTTTTTCAGTTGCATCTGTTAATAATAATAATAATTTTATCTTAAGAAAAAGATTCCTAAAAATGTTATCATATAACTTACATTTCTTTTCCATATTAATCCATTTTACAAAAATGTGCGCTTGTGTGAGAACAGATAAAGTAGCCGGCTGTGATTCGGAATAATAGAAAGATTCTCTTAATTCTCTCTCAAAACCAAGAGCTTCATCAACAGTATGAGCAAATAAAGAATCATCGTATTGTACAACTGGAAGTTCAGAATGTAATTTTTCAACAGCCATCTGTACCAAAGCTCTCATAAATTCGTCCTGTAATTTTGTTTTTAATATTATAATCAATTGTTTCAAATTTTTATTTGTAAATTTTTCCTTTTTAGAAATTCTTCAGTGTCTTTAAAAAAAAAAAAAATAATAGAAAGACATACTTTTACATTGATGTGATTATAACCAGCGGATCGAGCAATCGGTTGTACGTTTCTGGCCACCCAATCGGCATGATCTTTAATCCAGGTAAGAATTTGAGTAAAAAACCATTCTGGTTTATCTCTTCGATTTGTTTGTTTTGTGCCAGTAAAATGAAATATAAATCTCTGTCTCAGTGGTCGTACTAAGAAAACAATTGGCAAAGAAATTGGTGCAAAATCTGTTAGCAATGCTGATGTAACTGTTGGCTTTTCAGAATCTTCTCTATATTGAATAGTCAAGGATAATTTTGATAACTATTTAAATAAAATTTAAAAATGTAAAAAGAACATGTAATCAAGAAAAATTCAATTGAGTTAATAGTTAATTGATATCAAAAGGATACGGTAGTTGTAGATGAAACAAATATTCAGTAAGAGTTTTAAATTTTGCCATTCCTTCAGCTGATACAGTGCTAGAAACACTTAAGTTTGATCCACAAAAAGGCCATTTTATTGTTTTTAAAACCTCACTATATTCTCTGTAACAGATGAAACAAAAAGTGATATAAAATAAATAAAAATAAATATTCCTTTTTAAAGTTTACTCACTTGGACAATTTGTCTTTGATGTTATTGTGCCAATAGTGCAAAGTGTCTCGTATATGATTTGAAAGTTGTTTACAAGAAGATGATTGCCATTCGAGATATTTATGTGTCAAAAGAGCGTATGGTTCAATCGTAGCTTCATCGACTCCAAAAAATAATGATACTTCAATTTGACCACTGAAAAATGAGAATTATATTTCATTAAGGTTAATTATAATTCTCAAAGTACATTATTTATTTTACCTGATTTCTTGAACACTTTGCAAGGTATTTAAATAGAATAAAGTTTTTTCTAATTCATTAATCTTGTTAAGTAGTGATTCATATTCAACCATTTTATCATCTTTATTTAATGATTCACGAATTTCATTTTGTAAAAGTTGACAAGAATTTTTTAATTCATAAATGCTACTAGTGATATCATTAACTTCGCCTATTGTTTTCTCTACCAACAATGGTATTTTTTTCGATGCCAATGATAACTGAAATATTAATTGTAATTTATAACATAGTACAATTATTTATAATATAAATTAAAAATTTTAATAACTTACTGATTCTTCAAGAGCATTTTTCTCAGATTCTAATTCCTCATGAAATGTTTGAAGATTTTCAAGATTTTTTAAATCTGAACCCAATTTTTCATTAAATCTTTTTATTACTCTTGCTTCGATATCCATTTATTGAAATTAAATTGCATAATCATAAATTATTTACGTTTTTATTTGTAATAATAGGATATTTTTTAAAAAAAAAAAACAAATACGTGTCAAAAGTATATTTTGACAGTTTACCACCTCTTCGAAGTTGGCATAATCAGAAACCATATAGAACGTGATAAAATTTGAAATTTTATAATTTTCTATTTATCAATTTTTTAAAAATTATTTGGTAATTTTTTATATTTATTTTAAAGAGTTAAATAATTAAAACGTAACATTAATGTAAATATTGCATAAAAATTGAAAATGACATTAAACCTAACCTTAAAATTTCATTGCGCATCTTCATCGGCGCATTACAAACGTGTTTACAATTTGCGTCAGTTTTAAAATGTCAAAAGTTAATAAGAGTTAATTAATTATTGAAGAAGTGCTATTTCATATCTTAAATGTCATTTAAATAATTAAAACATTTTAAATTCTCTATTGATTTTATCTATAAATTTATAACAATTGTGTAAAACTCAATGTTTTAAGTATATATGTATAAATTTGCTTTCATTTGATTATCATAACCTGAAAATGATATAGAACACGTGATAAAATATAAATTTAATTTTATTGAAATTATTAATCTAATTAATTTGAATAATAATTTAAATATCGCGCCTAAAGAAATGATAAAAGAGCGATGAAAACGCATCAACTTTACACCTGCGCACCGCATGTAAACAACTTTCTCTATATGCGAATCAAGCTTTAACGAAACAACGGAACACCTTGCTGTCATGGCTGACTCACATTCGAGGGACTCATTGTAGCAAGTGTACGATAACAAAACCTGAGTCAATAGTTGAGATTTCACCTGTGGGATGTGGTCAAGTGAACAGAGTTAAAACTGATGTGTGTCTGCGACAATAAGTTATAATAGTTTTTTTAACGCGAGTGTTAAATTCATCTCGTGAAACGATGAACGGGTTAAGTTTGAGCGAACTATGTTGCCTATTTTGCTGTCCGCCCTGCCCTTCCAGAATTGCCGCCAAATTAGCATTTTTACCACCTGAACCGACCTATAGTTTTATTGAGGACGAGGGCTCAAAGTATACAATATCATTATCTGATAGAGCAGAATGGCAATATTCGGAAAGAGAAAAAGAGTCAATGGAGGGTTTCTATGCCAGGACGTCCCGTGGAAACCGCATTGCATGTCTCTTTGTTCGATGTTCAGCTACAGCAAGATTTACCATTCTTTTTTCTCATGGTAATGCTATCGATTTGGGCCAGATGTCTAGCTTTTATTTGGGTCTAGGTTCAAGGATTAATTGCAATATATTTAGCTACGACTACTCTGGATATGGTGTATCAGGTGGTAAACCATCGGAGAAAAATTTGTACGCCGATATTGATGCTGCTTGGCATGCTCTACGAACACGATATGGTATCAGTCCGGAAAATATTATTCTTTATGGACAAAGTATTGGTACAGTGCCCACAATTGACCTAGCATCCAGGTACGAAGTCGGTGCTGTTGTTCTTCATTCTCCTCTGATGTCGGGTATGCGAGTTGCGTTTCCAAATACAAAGAGGACTTGGTTTTTCGATGCCTTTCCTAGGTTAGTCAATACTTTCTTTTTTTTTTATCAATAATAATGTTTTACATCTTATCAGATAGATTTCTTTTCAGATGACTCACTTTTTGTTATATTTCTTTCACAGTAAGCTACTTAAATTTTATCTTCGTTTTCATTTTAGAAATATTGTTTTGCTGCTGAGATTTTTGAATGTTTGCAACTTATTCTAAAATATTGTTTCACAAGGGGGAAAAAAAAACCATTTGTAATTTAGAATAGTAATTTTTGGAAAAATAATTTCTAATCAAAATAAAAGTTCAAATTTCCTGAAAAAAATACTTTTATTACAGTTTATACAACTGCTATAAAAGTTTTTTGTTTTTTTTTTATCTGTGAACGAAAACATTTTTAGATTTATTTGTACACAGATTTACGGTTAAGCTTTGATAACAAACAAAACTTGTTCAATTGTTTGTGGTTGTAAATTATAAAAACTTAAAAATCTTCACTTGAAGTGTACGGGATGTCTTATCTGTTCTACATGTACAATTTTAAAGGCAAAGTATGTCAACAGTTTGCCTCCACACTATATAATTCGTGCACAGTTATAAATGACAGTATACACATATTTTATATAATAATTTCGTTATTTCTTGTCATGTGGAATAGTAAAAATTAAAAACGGTAATTTTTAAAAGTCCGTTAGTTAAAAATTCATAGTTTTGCTCTGTATATATATATATACAAAAGTCACTTAAAGTGAAACCCGTTAGAGAGTAAGACATAATGTCCATAATTAACTTATTCTATTGTCTTGAGTTTTAAATACCATTCTTTAATTAAAATAGACTATTGAATTTTCATTTTAAAATGCAAGCTCACTGACATTATTATATAAATCAATACTTTGTGCAATATTTTCAATTATTACAGGTCAAATTAAAATAGAGAAGGTTGTAGTACTCTTTAATTAATAATGTATATAAAAATCGATAATATATAAGACCCTTATTAATAAGAAACTCATTTTTTAGAATGTGATAAATTAATAATATGAAAAAAAAAAATAAATTTCTACGCCTATGCTAAAAAGAAACCTTTAAATTGCCTTAGGAAATAAGCTTTTCTAATCAAATTTAAGATAAACGTCATTATATAGGAAGCTTATGCATTTTTTTTTTTTTTATTATTATTTTAAAAAACATGCAAAATTTTATCCTTTTGTTTTTGTAATAAATTAAAATTTTTATCGGTCAATTATATGTTTATTGACCTTTACCTTGGAATTTGCTTCTTGTAAATAACAATTGAAAAAATAATGCTAATAATTTTGTTTTATAATTACAGTATAGACAAAGTGCCGAAGGTGACATCACCTGTTCTTGTTATTCATGGAACTCAAGATGAAGTGATAAATTTCAGTCATGGACAGGAAATATATGAAAGGTGTCCAAGAGCCGTAGAACCCCTATGGGTTGAGGTAATTTAAAAAAAAAATATTTTCTAAAATTTTGTTTTAAATACATTTTCCATAGATGAAGGTGAGAAAAAAAAACAGCTGATCTTGAAACAATAAAATCTAGGGTAATATATTATTAGACCGCAATTCAATCTAAGAATACAAGAAGTGCTTTGTTTTATACATTGATTTCTAATAAATGCAATTCAACATATTATGCCCCACATTGCGACACATATTTAATTATTTCTCATTGAATGTTTCGAAAAAAAATATTTTTAACTGTTTCGCAAATTTTTGTTTTAAATATGCTTTCATAAGGAAAATTCTCTTTTATTAAAAATCTCAATTACAATTCCAATGAAATATAATAAAAACAATGCAACACTTGTTGCTTTCTCTTGCGTAACCAAATGGAACCTTATGCTTTTTTTTTTTTTTTTTTTTTTTAAATTGAAAACAAAGTAAATGGGGATTTTATTTCAGTATATACTAGCAAAGACCTTCGATTTTGAGAATTGTACAAATTTTCCTACTAATTTTAATTGGATATTTTATCAAGCAGAATGCTTTTTGTTTTACTTTTCAAGAATAATAACGTCTCTATAATTATATTTCTTCTTTAACTTCCGGTCAGTGATCTCTTGTTTAACAAATATTCAAGCTTGTTTCATAATATTATTTTTCTTTTCGTCTTTAATGAAAGTTAATTAAAATAACAAAAATAAATTTTATGAAACAGATATTTAAAAAATATTAAATTCTAAATGTTTCTATGTTTTATTTAATTATTTTTTTTATGTAGAAATAAAAATTGAAAACACTTGATAAAATGGAAAAAATGTTGCAGGGTGCTGGACATAATGACGTTGAATTGTACAACCAGTATTTGGAGCGTTTGAAGCAATTTGTGAGTGTGGAATTGGTGAACTGACGTCGACTCAGCCTCTCCCAGAGTCAGGGAGGGCAGGGAGTTGGTCTCACGCACGTCAATAGTCAGGTACAATCTCTTTCAAATAATTCAAATACCATCAGCTCCAGCTCGCCTACGGAAAAGCTCGTATAGCAATCACCCTCCGCAGGGGAGATGATCACTATTCTCCCCTGTGATAGTGGTGGTGGTGTTGGTGATCCCTCACCAATTTCTAATGATGAGGTAATATTTTTTCCTGATAAACAAGAGAAACCTAAACGAGAGAAACGTGAGACTGTGAAAACAGTGAAAAAAGAATTTCGTTTACGTCATCAAAAAGAATCAGAATTAAAAGATCTTAAAGCGACATTTAATGCAAAATCAGATTGTTTGGATACTAAATGGGAGAAATTTAATTTTGATGATGGTAATAGAAAAAATGACAACAAAGCGCCTTTAAAGACAATTTCACATCGTAAATTAAATCGTCGTAAGAAACGTTCATCACAAGGTTGTTCTGATCGGGAGAATTCAAAATTAAGCGACAGGAATAAAGAAAAGGGGAATTCATCAAGTTCAGAAGCTTCTAATGATGTAAATATTGCGAAAGATTCTCGATATAAACGCATTAAAACATCTCTTACAATTCATATTCATTACAATTCCAGGTTCTTGAGGAGGCTGCTAGTAAGGAAGGGATAATGCGATACGAATATGATCTACAAAGCAACAACAACAAATTATCAAAATCAAGGAAATATCTCTGGTTTAGTAAAAATACAAAAGATCATCATCATCATCATCATCATAATTTAAAAGGTAATTGTCAGATCGATGTTGAAAATGAAAAAATTAAATCATTGAAAGTTATGAAAACATGCAGCCCTCACAAGAAACTTAATAGATCATCACTGACAATAGAATCCGATAAGATCACAATTAATTTATCAAAATACTCTCCTTGCGCAAGTAGATTGGCAGCAAGCTCAAAGATCCTTTCAAATGAAAGTGTATCGAATTCGGAGAGTCCTTTACATTTACCCCATTCAAGAAGTCCTTCTCACATTAATGTACAACCAGCAAATTCATTACCCTTGGATAAAATGTCAATTCAGGCTAGTTTATCATTAAATATCCATCAATTTGAAAAAACACGCTCCAATTCACGTAGTAGAAGTGTCGGCGATAGTTGTGTCACATCACCAACAAGCGAGGGCACAACACTCAGTTATTCACCAACAGTAACTGAAATCTTGTCATTGGAAGAAGTAATACCTCAAATTTTAGTGACCGAAGAGTCATCAAGTTACCTAGATATTAAAAGAAAATCAGACAACAATCTCTCTGAAAAGGCACGAAAAGCCACTTTAGAAACTAAATGTTAGTCGGGTAGTTTCAAATACAATGTGTATCAAAGTTGAACAATCAACACAACTATCGGGAATTTCTCTTCCATGTTAATAATAATAATAATATAATAACGAGAGAGACGTCAGAGAGATTTTTATGTCCCATCAATGCTATCGGGTGATGTAGTGCCACTGAGACTAAACATACCACAATTTATAAGATTTATTATTGATATTTGTACGAAGTAAAGATTAAGTGTAGTATTTTTTGAGTGCTCGCTCGCTCGATTATTCGAGAGAAAATGTTATTGCGAAAAAAAAAGTAAAAAAAAAAATATGTTGAGTATTATTATATATGAAATTAGACAATCAATTGACTCGCGGGTAATGAGATCTTTTTGATGATGATATAGGAGAATCATAGTTATCTTCGCACTGTGATGCTCGAATCGAAAAATTATCATGCAAGTCTCGCTGCGATAATATTCATTCTATACAATGATTAAAAAAAAAAAAAAAAAATTAAAAAGTGCCAAAGAAAAGAGATTACCGCTAAGCGACTGTTTTTTTTTTGTTTTCCCTTTTTTGTCTGCACTTGAACTTTTTATTAATTACACGCCTTTTAGCCAAGTGCTTTTCTCTTCTTATAAACACTTGTTTCAATCCTCCCCACCCAAAAAGTCTCAATTACGAAAGTCGATTGATTTCTACTATATAGTAGTTTATAGGTTTTTATCTTGTGATGATCGCTCTTTATTGTTGAAACTTTGCGTACACTTAAAAAAAAAAAATAAGGCTTAATATTAACTCACGTATCATGAGTAGTGAGTTTCGATGAGACTTTAAAAGAGATAATTTTTACCGAACACGATGTTTTTATTTTGAAATTAAAAAATGTTTTCTTCTCAAAATTATGTTTTAAAATTTTTATTTTTCTAGATTTTTATTTTAAATTTTGTGTGTTTTCAATTTCTTTTTTTTTTTAAATTAAATTCTTAACAAAGTAAATTGTAGATGATAAACGATATTGAGGATTAAAGCCTCTTTTATCCAGATCCATTTTTTGGTAGGGAAATACAATGTTTAATAAATTTTAAGTCCTGTAATTGTAAGATTAGAATTTCTAATAAAATTAAGTGCATCGGTAAAAGACAAACACAAATGATACATTTCCTTCCATGGAATGCTTTTTCTACGTAAAATAATTATAAAAGTGATAGGTATAATGAATTCTACTCCATGTGCACAATTTTTTGTTTCTTTTGTTACAATAGATTGATTAAAAAAGCAAATTTAATATAGCCAATAAAAATGTGGCACATCCCATCTAAATAGAGAATATTGAATCTCTTCCAATTATTATGATATGTGTAAAAACTAAACAAAATATTGTAAAATTTGCAGAAAATAATCATCAATTTGGTGCGATGATGTTTGTGTCTTACTTGATGTGTGCAAGAGAAATTATGAGAAAAAAAAAAAAAAGAAAAAATGTAGCTCTGCAACGAGAGATTTAGAGACAATATACTGCCAAACTCGTCTATGAACTTGAAAAACTTCTATTCAGAAAATTAATTGTCTGAAGAAGCCTTGATTAAACCGTTTCTTATTAGTATTTTTGTATATGTACATATATAATAACAAATCCATTTTTTTTTCATATATTCCGAGCCAGTGGAACAAATACAAAAATGATTAATGGAATCATTTGCAGAAAATTTTACATTAAGAAGTTGAGTCTATTTTGAAATAGTTTCTTCTTTACATCACTGAATGTTCGGTTTTTATTTTTTTATTTACAACTAAAAATCAAAAAAATGAAAGTGTTTTTTGCAAAAAAAAAAAAAAAAAAAATCATTGCCTACTTGGAGAATTAAAAAACGTCTGAATTGAATGATATAAATGTGTCAGCTGCCCTTAATTTGTGATCGATATTTAAAAAAAGAGAAGTGTCAGATTGAATAATCTGGGTAAAATTCCATTGGTTCGTGAAAAAAAAAAAAAAAATTGAAATGGAAATTCTCGACATTAATTTACTCTGCCTCTTAACATGTGGAATTTGCATAAAAATGTGTTATCACTCTGAATCTTTTTTCATAGCGAGAGGGATGCTCAATTTTTGAGAGGAAGTTGCGCGCGATGGTATTTATACTATATATGTATGTAAATACGATAAAAAAAATAGATTTTAGCATCGATAAGAAACCCTAAAATCTATATATCTATATAAAAAAAAATCGGAGCGTCCAATCGTTCGATGTACTTATCAAAATCGAGTTGCGAAGACGTCGAATCAAGATTCGTACGAACAAGATATTACAAGGAAACATGATAGGATATAATTTGTAAAAAAAAAAAAAAAAAACAATTAATGAATCAGTTGAAAAAAAACTCAATAAAATGACACACGTATATACTTTAGTATGTAAGGGTATAGATAAAAAAAAAAAAAAAGGAAAACCAATTCTGTCAAAAAAGATTGACATTTTTGAGAAGAGAAAATATGATATACAAATTATAGACAAACTCTAATCGTACCTAAAAACGGTAACTTAGTATTTTATACTTCCACCACATTTCAACTAAGCATTATGTATAAAAAAAAAAAATTATACTTTAATCGTCTCGTCTTATGTATAATTATACGATGTAAATTCTACGATATAAATGCATTATATGCGTAGAAAACTCGTAATCCCGTCGCTGCGTTATATTTTACATTGTCGTTAATAATACATTATAAAGCACCGCTTTTCGTCTTTCTAACTTGATCTTATACCCGGTTTTAATAGACTCATCTGAAACCCTTAGTAGACATTTTATCAATTTCCCTACACGCTCTCTTTTAGAACATCATTTTATCCTTTGTTCATCTAAAATTCATTTTATTAAAAAAAAAATTATGTAACCGAAAAAAAACATTCCTGGTGTTATGTATGAATTTTTGTTTTTTTTTTATTATAATTATATATACAATAATTTGTAAATAATTATTGTAATTTAGTTTTTGTTTTTAATCCTGTTTTTTTTTCACGGAATGGGAGACCTTCCTTTTTACCAATAAAAATTAAGTTAAAATTAGTTAACTTTTATGTCTATGACGATCCAGTATGCAAGAGTGAATATTATATGAATTTTGCGTAAAGTTAGAATGCGATATAAGCAAACAAAAAAAAAACAACTGTATCTGTTTCATGCAAATCCAAGTCCTTCCGCATAAGAACCGTTTGTGCAATAAACAATAAATCATTTGTAAAATGATATCTCAGAATACTTTTTTCCATTTGAAACACATTTTTCCCCATATATGAAAAATAAGTTACGAGTCGGCATGTTTTGCTTCCCATTTTTTTTTCGCTACAAAAATTTTCTGAATAAAATTATAAATAGGTATATTGATAATTGAATACAATAGTTTATTATTATGTGAATTTGTGCACGTAGTTATTTTCAATTATATTTTCGTTATATGAGAATATAAAATAATAAATATTTTAGATTTTTTCAAAAAGAAAAGAAGAACTTTACAAGAAAAACAAGGACATTTTTAGAACAAGTGACCCCAATAATGGCAATTACATGGCCTTAAATAATTAAATGAAAAATTCTTATGTTACCAATGTGTATATTTTTAAAAATATTTTAAAATATATTTTCACATAAAAAATTGTTCAAAAATTTTAAAGAATGTAAAACATACTTTATATTATATGCATGTCCTTTTTTTTGGGGGGAGGGAAATTCATAAAATTTTTATATTTGAAAATACTAAAAAAGGTTTTTGATATTTTAAACTTTTGAGAACATTAAATAGTGAATGGATAAAATTTGGAGTATACGTGATATATAAAAAGAATAATATCCAGTGGAAATTATATATAAATAATTCGAGAAAAAAAAAAAAAATATATGAGTGAATTTTAAAAAATGACATAAAATTTTACATACATATTTCTGGTATTAACATTGCATATACTACATAATATATGAAATCGATTTAATATTGTAAAATAAGACATTTTCTTCTATATAGAAAATTTATAATATTCATGATATATGAAAAAATGATTAAGTTTATGTGTTTTATTAAACTACTTTATCAAGGTATTAGGTATCGATTGTTCTTTGAGATTTTACCGGTATAGATATATATATAATATTATATTATAATATAGTCACGACATTGGTGAAATATGATGGAGCGACATAGTGTTTCCGGCATTGTTAAATCCTTGTGCAATAACCATCAAATAAATTCTGTTTTATCAATATATATATATATAATAAAGCGCCTATATGATCAATTCTCTTTTAATTTAGTCATTATAAAAATGATTTTGTTGTAACCCATATATGCCGCGCGCTATTATTTATTAAATCTATTATTTAAATATTTTTCAAATATTTACCTTCACTTTTGTGAAAATATATATAGTTGAAAAAGATTTATTCGAAATTCTACTTTCAATGTGGTAAAACAAAAAATTTAATTATAAATGCTTTCATCAAATTTTCCTAATTGATTGAAATTAAATTCTTGTTAAGCAAATTCTATTACTAATTTTGTTAAAGAATGACAAAATTAATTGAAATAAATTTACATTACCTTTAAAATTTGTAAAAACGATATGAACATATAGGAAATGTTATTTCATTTGAAAAAAAAAATGGTTTGATTTTTGAAATTTTTAAAAAATTTTCTCGTGTAAAAAAAATGTATATTAATATTAATTATTATTAATTTGTGAATATATTAAGAAAAATATAGTATTTCTTATATTTAGTAAAAGCAGATTTATTTTTAAATCTTTATTTCTTCTATTTGAAAATTTTTTTTTAAATTTCTTCCAACTAAATTTAAGAGAAAATTGAAAATAATATAATTTTATTATAGATGAAACAATATTATTATATTATATCGTTTTATTTATAAGATGTTTTTCTCCTTCAGTCAGTGAAGAGGTTCTTGTATTAAAGTAAGGTCAGCCAGATTCTTAAGCACTTACTTTATTTACTGTATTTGTAAAGATATTATAATACATATATGAGTTTTTATATATAGTATGAGTATCCTTAACATACCTTTGATTTTTAAGAAATTTCTTTTCATTTAATTAGTATATAAAAATAATAATATGAAAACACCAAAGGCAGTTTTGTCCTTTAATTTACATACAAAAAAGTCAAATTACCGTTTTGATTAATTTTATGAATATTTATTGAATAAATTCCATCTCCTTATTAATATCTCGAGGATCATTTGTTAAAAGTATATATATAGCTACTGAAAATTACTTTCAACGAGTAATGCACTGAAACGATATATATATATATATATATATTAAAGATTCATATATGCACTTAATAATTTTACATGTTAATTATATACAAATCGCAATTAAATTTTGACATTAATAAATTGGTTATAAAGTATTTATACAATTTTCTCTATAATTCAGTTGCTCTACATTTCATTTGTTTATTATTTATATTTGTATATATATACAAAATGACCTAATTAATTTATATAAAAATTCGTATTTACAAAATTATTTTAATTTTTTTTTTATAATCTCTTTTTTTTATTTTCTTTATAATTAATGTTATTTTTCATTTTCAGAATAAAGTGAAAAAAAAGAGAGGAAGTCACTTATCATTCGTTGTAAATAAGATACAAAAAAAGAAGGGAATGATTTGCGCTTGTAGCAATTATAAACGTGAACACGTTGATCAATGAATCTCTTAATACTATAATTTATAATCGAGGATTTGTTATAGAGGGGGGGGGGGAAGAGTACTGATGTCTCGCAATTACAGAAGCAATACAACTTTGTCACTCAGAGAGGGATGAAGGGACACACACACACACATACACAATGCGATATACTGAATGTTCAAATAGTTCACCTAAATTGTCCAAGGTAATTAGATCGTGACCAACAGAAATACGCGATTGGCTATGCACTATTCACTAATTACTTTTGCAAACCTTCCATTATTTGTGGTTCAATTATATTCGACCGCCTCTTATTCATCCTTTTTCTTTTTTTTATTGATTACCTATTTTTAATTTATTAATTTTTATTATAAATGTTTTTGAAATATTTTGTAAAAAAAAAATTATATTCTAATAAACAAAATATATTAAATATAAGCGTTTGGCGGATAAAATTGAACTTTTGTAAAATTTAACGTCAAATATATAATTTATATCAAACGACAAAATACCAATATCATTATCATTAATAATAGTTTAATGATAACGGGTATAATTTGAATTTTCGAAATTCCAATAATAATGAATTGATGATTCTCTTATATTATTTCATGTGAAAATATTTAATTATTGGATATTGTTTTTCAATCGCAAAAAAAAATATTTATTAAGAAATAGAATTTAAGTCTAGTTGAACAATTTTTATTTTTTAATGTATTTATTAGAATGAAAAAAAAAAATTATTTGATTCTAATAATCGGCTATTATTTAATAAATATTTATTTGTATTTAATAATTATTATTTGATTGGTATATTTGTTTCAAATAGAGAAATTATATTGATTAAAATACAATTTATTTTATTAAAATAAAAATTAGATTGAAATAAATATTTATTTGATAATAGTCAAGAAATGTAGAATTAAATAATTTTTTTTTTTCAGTGTAATATCTGTTTTTTATTAACGATTATTTTCTTATATTATATTTTGACGTGAACATTTCTAAACAATTTAATTATGCAACCTCGAGATTTGCATTCTTAATAAACTGTCAATTTGTAGTAATGCAATTAAATGAAATTAGGATCAAGTGAATAGTGTCTGATATTGGAATATCCATATTGGAATATAACATATATATATATATATATATATTGGAATATCTATAAGCTATTGCAATTTCGGTTAATTGCTCTAGATTCGCGTCTATTTCTCGGAAAATGTCCGTTGATGTCTTTAACATTGAATAATTTCCATCCTATATATATATATATAGTGAATATATCTTGATTGGATCTGATGAGAAATGTGCCCGGTAAATTGATGAGATACTAAAGTTATAGCTAATGTCACACACGCTTTTAGTCAGATGAAATTCACATTTACGATATATATATAGTTATTAAAACTAATGAAGGTCTCTTTCTCTCTCTCTCTCTCTCTCTCTCTGAGATTTTGTACAAAACTTTCAACTCGTTCTTCATCGTGATTAAGAGAACTGCGTGTAGCTTGCAAAAGCTTTGGGGGCCGTTTTGTGATCCGATATTCGTGAGATTAAACACGTGCAATTTTCCGCAGAATATACTTGCTGGTATAGGATCGGTGCAACTGCACACCTGTATATATATATATATATATATAAGCGGTTATATAGTATATATAACCTCCGGAATTTATATATATCTGTTACACGTGCAATTACGCTATGCCTAAGCGTATGCAATTATTAATTGCTCCAGTCTTGGCAAAATATGCAAAATGTATTATATCGTGAGTACCGCGAAAATGAAAATTTATAATATTCGCGAGTAACATATTACGATATTAAATTTCTTCTTTTTTTTCCACATAAAATATATATTCTTTATACAAAAAGAAATGCCTTAATGCTTCATTGGATAAAAGAAAGTAGTAAAAAAGAACTAATTTGTGCATGGTATGGTTAAATTATTGGATTGCAAAGCTTTGAGGGTCATGGGTTCAATTCTTTTTCTTTTCTAAGATATTGAGAAATATTAACACTGAATCAAAAAAAAAGGGATTGAGATTATCATATTGCTATATAAAAAGAAGAAAAAAGAAATGTATTATTTCTATTTGTGAATGTGTGTTGTAAATAATATTTCGCATATAGCCTTTCGCGTTGAATAGAATATATAGGTAAGTAAAAGTAATTATTAATTCCTGCAGCCGAAGGTTAATTTGTTTCTGTGTCGACGGAGCAAAATGTGCGAGGAGAGCTAGCCTCACCTGCGCTGAAACCTGACATGGACAACAAAAATGAGAAAACAGGTTACACTGCGCACCTATTTCAGTTAAACGATCAGGGGCGAATTTATACGATCCTTGAAGATCTTTTTTTTTTTTTTAAAAAAACCGATTTCCAGAGATTCTCTTCTGGAAGCTGGGATTTTTTTTTTTATTAAATAAAACAGGTTATTTAACTCGTTAAATTTTACTTCGCAATATTAAACTATAGCAGAATATTTGTGTATATAGCTGTATCAAATTTTAGTTCTTATAAAAATAGAAATACGATAATAGAAATGACAATAACATTAATTAAATTCAATATCAATTAAATTAATTACATTTATCTATCTACTATATTAAAATATAGTATTTATTTATAAGTTACTTTCTATTTTCTAATTTTTTATCTTCTGCTTCATTTTTTTTTTTGAATAATTTAATATTGCTTTTTTAAATGTATAAAAAATATTTTATAACTTTCTTTTGTTCTTTAAATATTTCATGACTTTTTTTTTTTATTTAAAAAGGAAACGTAACTTGAATTTATGCAGAGAAAGAGAGAGAGAGAGCCTTGAGAAGGAGATAGGGTGGGTGGTAGATCTAGAGCAATCTCTTATTCTGAATGCTTTGGACCGTAAAAAGGGATTTGTTTAGACTTAGCTCCTACTCCAATGAATAATAATTATATGTCATTACTCATTAGAAGACTATGGTAATGCAGATCATCATATTGGTTGTAGATATATGTCCTCGTGCCTTTTCTTCACCATCTATTTAAATAATAATAAAAGTTTCATTATACATATTTACTTAATGTAAATTATCTTCTAACAAGGATAAAAAATTACACGCACATGACTTTTAAAAAAAAGAGTTTTACTAAAGTGTAATTTTACCAATAAGTATAAGGAAACATGCATTATTATATATTATGTGTATTGGATAGGAATTCAAATATATATATAAATGCAATAATATTTCAACGAAATACTAATAATATAATATGGAACATAAATGAATAATTGGCTAATAATTAACTCTCGCTCACCTTTGTAAAAAAAATCACATTTCCCATGACTTTTGAACGAATATAAGTGTTTCTCCGCCAAAAGGAATAATTTTCACTTTAGTGAGAGCAATATAGAAATCTTGGGAATAATAACAATTTCCGCCGACGGTGAAAATTCTGAGATTTTAGATTGCATTTCTGAAAAAAAGAACAAATTAATTAGATAACGAATTGTAATTGTTTAATTGAATTTTTAATATATTTATAAAAGAATTTCGATTAATATTATATTTTTCAAATTAAAATTTAATCGTAGTAATTTATAAGAAAAATTTTTATTACAAAATTTCCTTAATTAAGAAATTAATTAGATCCGAAGGTATTTTCACATATAAACCGAGAAATTCATCAAAACGTCCCTTTTGGATGATGAGTTACCTGTCATGAGGAGCTGTTAGATAGGTGTATTTTGATAACTGATTAGCGTTTCCGGCAGTGGTTTAGGTTTAATTATCATGGATTGTCATGACTATTAATCACATCTCATCAACTAAAATTTCATGACACTAATTATACACATATAACATTTGCAAAAAAATGAAATGGATTTCATCACATACTATATAAGCATTTATATATAAAAAAATATATATAAAGACACACTTTCTTTTTGAAAAAGGAAAGTGCAATTTCGCTATTATAAAAGAGATCAAAAAGGTTTTATGGTGAGGATTTCAGTTTCGAAGAAATAACATTTCTTTTCTTTTTATATTGTAATTCCGCTTTGAAAGTTTGTTTTGAAAAGCAGTGAAGCGCAAAGTGAGAAAATCGTGTCTACTTTTTTTCTTGAACAAAAGTTCTTTGTAGAATTTCATATCGATTAAAGTGGATACTACACCAAAAAAAATCCTGATAAATCTCTAAAATATAAACAACTAAATAATGCTTATATATACATTTTTTTTCTAAGAAAATGAAATTTCTAGATTTTATATCAAAGATGAATGAATATTATATCAAGAAAGATAAAGTTCTCGATAAATTTTATAAAACATTGAAAACCAATTTATTCAGTTTCAATATAAATAAAACTCGAAGAATGAAATGAATATTTGCTGAAAAAAAAAATTTTAATGAAAGTTTGTTAAAATTTAACCGATAATTTCATTAAGGGATTTTCTTTTTTACATATACGAGATAAATTGGAGGGAAAAAAAAAATAATAATAATAATTCTCTTAATTATTTTTATGAGAAAATTATTATTTTACAGAAATTTTTGGGTATTAATTGCATATAAAGTGCTTGCTGCCTTACATATAGGATGGAATTTAGATTGCACCAATTTAACATATTCCCCTTTGCGTGGGATACTGGGGCAAAGTGGCAATTTGAAATAATGCGTTGGGCAAACCACGTTTCTCGAGCAAGTCCCCCAGTACTTTACCGGAGGCAAATCTTGAGAAATGCCGTATCTCACATATGCAGAGGGATATAACATATATACAGAGTCCACTATATACACTCCAATACTTTAATCTTCATCTCTCTCTCTCTCTCTCGGATAATAATATCTCACTCTATGTAACTACACTATACGCCCACTCTGCCTGGACTAATGCAAATGTTTAACCTTTTGGTTTAACTTATCTATTTCCAACTTTGACCCCCCACTGTTAAGACTTTAATAGATAATTCGGAATTTAACTGAAAAAAAAAATTTCATTCACTTGCAAAAAATAGATTTCTTTAAAAGAATGTGAATCAATATATTTTGGAACTCATTGATTTTTGTAAATATTTTATACCACGATTTTAATTTCAAAATATATAAAAATTATTTTTGGAAATTAGTTTAAATAATGAGATGAATAATTAAAATTTTAATTCCAAAGATATATAAATATTAAAAAGATGATTTTTATAACTAAATTATTTTTTCTCGTGCGTGCTTTGGATGAATCAAAAAAAGCAAAAGGAAAATTTTCATAAATGTCAAAAATAAAAATTAATGAAAAATATTTTTGCAGCTAAATTGAATTAATTATAAATTTTTGAAAAAATAGAAAAAAGCGCAGTTTCTTTTTTTACTATTCAAGGGATATGAAATTCATTAAAAACATGTCATCCCTTGCCAAGAAAATTAATTAAGAAGATCCAACTTTACATATTATGAAGAGTCCTTCGAAAAGCAATTTCGCTTTTCACATGTGCGCCTTACTGCCGATCGTGATATTATTTTCTATAAAGTAAAATGGTCATTTCATAAACAATTTCTGATCTCTATTCAAAAGTTTCATAATCGTAAATTGCAAATAACTCTTCAATTAAAAATTAGATTTGTATATTCGAACTATATATTAAATTAATTTTTTTTCATCGAAGATCAATTACTTTTGAAAATAATAAAATTAGAAAAAGTGAATAATAATATTTTACTATTATTTAATTAAATTAATATATTTTGTTCTTACTCACCAATAAATAATATATCTATTTTTATATATATATTCACACAAGATGAAATAAATTAATTTAGGTATGAATAGTAATAATATCCATTGTGTTAGAAACGAGTGGATTGCTATTTCTGGAATTTCTTGCTCACCTATTCTAGAAGTGGCGGATATACATAAAAGATCATTCAGTGAATATAGCTTTTGAAGTTCTAGCTTTTATTACACACATTCTCTCTCTCTCTCTCTCTCGACAATCGAGAATTTAACAACGCTCTAATCCTGGTTTTGTTGAATCATCGAAAAAAGTCGCCGACAAATCTCAAGTCCGCGGATGTGGTCAATAACTTAAAGGCGATAAATTTTGTTCAGAGCAATAAACATACGTCGTGCGAAAACACGTCGAATAGGTTAAAATAATGACTTCCTCGAATAACCAATATTCATCACAAAAATCCTCTCTATATATATTGCCTAAAATATATCTTTTCTATAAAATCTTATATTTATCTGCGTGAATAAAAATTATATAATTAATGCAAGAAAAAATATTTCGAAAAGGAAAACATAAATTTCATTAATTAATCTTTCTTAATTCGCTTTCATTTTTATAATCATAATTAAAATATTTGATTTTTTCAGTACTCACCATTGAAATCTCATAGTGTTCGAAAGTACAAATAATACTACAATTTACTTCAATTTGCAAGTACTAATATTTTTGTTTTGATTATCCGTGTAATAAAATGAGGTTATGTTGTTACTTTTCTAATAACAATCATAACAATCAAAAAGTAGTCCAATTTCAATTATATAATTTTGAATAACATTAACTATTTTAAAAAAAATATTACTAATTATATCAACACTTAATATTAATAAGTAATAATAATAATAATAACTTTTTATCACTATTTATCTATTTATTAATTTAAACAATTGTTATAACCGTTAAAGAAATTTAAAATAAATTCATACTAGTCAACAACATCTGCGCATGCGCATTTGTGACTTTAAATTGGCGGGCGGGGGTGTAGTAACCCCGAAAACCTATATTACTTTTTGATAATTAAATATTTCACATCTAAAAAAAATTTATAATATTACATTGACCCTACTCGTAAAAATAATTAACTTAAAAAATGTGTCAGTTTTTGTAAATAAAAAATATAGGAAATAGAAATAAGCGCACGGTAACTTCAATGCCAGCAAATACGTATTTATGCGTTATTAATATATATATATAAAGTAACGAGGAAATGTTATAAATACCAGTTTGTAAGCAAAAAAAGAATCGCAATAGTATGACAAAACTGAAAAAGCAAGTATAGGTAAGCAAAAGAGAAAAGAATCTTTGATATCAAGAGAGTTGAATAAAAGTAGTGAGTGGTGGTGGGGGAAAAAGTTTGAGGAGTGGGGGACGAGAGTGACGCTGCTTGACTTGCTCGGCAGTTGCGATTCGAACGTCGCGCGTGTTGCATCGTTCTGTTGATTGTGTGTCATTTGTGCTATATTAATTACATCGTGTGCGCACTGTTTATCGAATAACAATTTTATCAAATTGCAATCAACCGAGGTAGTATATTATATCCATAACGTTTATTGTGAAATTCGTCATCGTTTACAAACAAAAATATTTCAAAAACCCGAGAGGTTAAGTTTTCAGTGGACCCGTGAAGTCGCGTGTGTTTACCATTCTCTTTTATCCTTCCCCCCCCCCACACCCCGCCCAAAAAAAGTGTGCTTCCCTGTTGTGATTTTGTTTCATTTGTTAAAGTTCTTTGTTACTGGAATTTATTTCAAGGAGGCTACGTCTTTTGGGATTTTTTACAAGTGGGCCCTTCAGGGCCGAAGAGTGCTGCTCCAAAACTTCACGGAGCCTGGTTTTCATCTGCCTAGCGGTAAGTTTTTCTTTTATTTAACAGCTTTTTTTTTATTTAAGATTATTTGTGGTTGGAAAATAAAATAAAAATAGAGGAAGAGTGGCGTAAACAGTTGAAGAAAAGTTTGTTGATATAAAATCGGAACTAAAAGTTTCTATGACAGGCCGGTGACCCCTGGTGGAGTTTAATCGAAACTCATTTTCAAACTTCCTGAGAGTTCTTTATACAAAGCAAAGTGTGTTTAAATTTAATCTTTAAGCAATTTAAACCGTTGAACTGACAAAACATTCTGAGAAGAAGTGGCGCGCTTTGATTAAAGAAACCTAACCTCTTTTCTTTCTTTGCAAGTGTATGTATCTTATCATGTTTATCTTTTTGGTTCATATTACTCTTCAGTTTTAACATCTTGAGTAAGTTTACGTTTAAGTTACTTTCAAGTTTTCGTTATTTTTTTTTTTTCTCCCCTTTTAAAAAGATTTTAAGTGTTTGAAGCCTTGATGGCGATTAAAGTAAACTGTGGGTGAAGTTGTACAAGTTTTTCTCGCAAGTTTCGAGTTTCACACATGTGGTGCACAACAGGGTGATGAATTAGGGATCTTCTTTACATTATTATAGTCCTTTCCTGACCTTCGTGGTGTTGTTTTTATGTACATAAAAGTTGGTAGAGGAATGACAGGCATTCAGAAATCTTGACCATTTTGACTGAAGGCCTGGACCATTTCTCAGTGGGTGGTGTGCATTGGACAGATTTGAAATAAGAAAAGCAAACTCATATGTCCTAAAACTTAAATGTCTTCTTCAGTTTGGTTTAAGAGCGGGTTTTAATTTTAAAAGTAACCAAATAATCAGTTTAGTTTCTTATTATATTAATCGTAACTAGGCTATTTTATTTTTTATTTTTATTTCTATAAATTAGATTAAATATTAATTAATCATTTTATTAAAATTGATAATAAGAGAATCGAATTAAATAAGTAAAAAAGAACTGAATTTATAAACAAATTTTTTTCTTTTCTCGAAAAAATGTTTCTTTCCGTTAAATTTCAACTAAAATATTTACAGGCAGATGAAGTCTGAGGTTTTCTTTTTATAAAGTCTTTGATAAATTCCCAGTACGTCAGGCATTATTGAGTTTTAATTAAAAAGCAATATTTGTTCTATGAAATTGAATTTTGTAATGTTTAAAATTAAAAGAATTATTTGAGTAAAATTAAAAAATAGAAAGTAATTTACATTTTGAATTAAAAGTTTGGTTTTTTTTTATAATTTATAACTTTTTGATCATTAACAAATGTAATGTTTAAATTGTTATAAAGGGTTATTATGTTATTTATAAGTTTGAATACATATGTTAAGTATCACTTTGTGAAAAGTTGAGTCAAAGCGTATGCCACTCTAGTTATTTTATGTCGGTTTAACATAATATATAAAAGGCTAGTAACGTTTAGTCTGGAAAAGTAATTATATTTTTTTTTTGTTTAAAAAATTTTTTAATAATGCTTGTTTTAATAAGCGTTAATTTAATAAAAACGGTTTTAATATAAAAATTTTTCTCATTTTGCTGAGTTTTTTTTTTTTTTTTTCATTTTAAAAGAGGTTTGCTTATTCTTAGTTTGCAAAGTGTAACATAATCGATTTTTAGTGTAGAAATTCTGTGTCTTATATCGGTTAATTTTATCAGTTTTATGTTTTCTCGCGATAAAATTAAACTAATGATACCTTGTTAGATAGGGAATGAGAATTAAAAAGAAAGAGAGAGAGAGAGATTACAGAGTACGTATAGAGGACCCTACTATCAGAATCTACTTTAGTTTTGGATTGTAACAATTTTCTCACGAGTGATTCGTGCAAGAAAGCAGGTATTTCTGTGATTCGGTGTGACAATAAAAATAATTTAATGACCAGTGCGTGGTTAGAAAGTCTACTTGGCAGTTCAAGCCACCTATATATATATATATATATATATACATGTTCACTCTATGCAGCCAACACACAAAACCGGTTTTGAACTTTCTTTATATAAAAGAGGGACGGAAGGGTACAACTATACATACTACATGTGTGCACAGTTGTGAAGGGGACTTATATACCACGTTGAATACGACGATGCAGGTGATCGCGAAGTCCGTTGGCGTATATTCTTCTCACAAATACATATATCATGAGATCCACGCATACGGTGTGGGGTTTTGAATTTTACGCTCAATTCTTTATTTTAAAATCGACGTCTAAAAGAAAGAGAAAGAGAGAGAGAGAGAAATATAATGAAAATATCTTGACGTTAATAAATAGAGGACCGCTAATTTTACAAATATATTGGACATTCTGGCTTCAAAATAAACATGACTTAAATATTAAAAAGCGCGACAAAGTTGTAGGATTTAAAATACTCAATTTACATAACAACGCACACGCAATAACTTTCCTGCTCTGAAATCCTTGAAAGCATTTTATTCCTTTCGTTGGATACTTTTAACCTTTCGAAAAAAATTTCGTGCTTTTTATCTCTTGTACACACATAAAAAAATGAAGTTTATAAATTATTTTCTCGATTTTGACTTAATTTATGATTTATATCGATTAAGAAAACAAGTTTAAAATATTTTTTAAGCCCTTTTTTTATGATACTGAAGTCCGCAACGTTTTTATAAACAAAAACGAAAAAATAAGTAGACAACATCTATTACTTTGGTTTAAAATTAAAGTTATTTATAACTGGTTTTTATAAAAGTACTTGAAAGTTTGTGCAAATCAAAATTAGAGATAAATTGACATGAAAAAATAATTCTATTGCGGAATTCAGCATCATTTTTTTAGTGTAAAAAATTTCTTATTTTTATATTAACTATTAGATTCTAATTGGAATTTTAAAGAGTAGAGAATTTAATTCAAAACTATGAAATTTGTAACTAAGGTAGCCCTATTTCCAGAGGGATTTCTGTCATGAACAAAAAGGGTTTTAGTGTCTGCTCCGATTTTCAACTTGGTCTAGTGGAAAAAGACAGGTCGCAAGAGCAATTAATTGCATCCAAATTAGTGAAGAGGAGTTTAAAAAAGCGTGAAACGCGAGAGAGGCAGAGATTGATTTCATTTCAAATTGTAATTGAAGTCATTAATGTCATCACTAATGCACACATTAATTTAGGTCAATTGTGGTTGTAGCATATACTCTCCCTTTCTATCTCTCACTGTTGTTGTTTTTTTTTTTTTTTTTGTATTCCGAAAGTCATCCAACGATAATGAAGATGTAATTACGCATTCAGCGTAATTACGCGCAGGGAATGGCATCGTACCGCAACAAACACACAACGGTTTTTATTGTTGCAACAAAAAGTAATAGTTTTTAATTAGATAAAATAATCTAATAATTTAAAAAATAACAATTCAGATGTTGTTTTTTTATATTTTTTTTTCTTTTTAGAAATTTTTATCTATGCTTTCTATTTACAAAATAGTTTTTTTTTCGGTATTTGGAAATGTTTCTTTAAAATGAATTTTTTGCTGCTGGTGATTTTATGAATAATAAGTGTGATGAAGACAAAGAGGTGTGTGTGTGTGTGTAATATAAAGAATGCGTAGAACGTGCGTGCTTTGTTTTTAGCCTTGAACGTGATGATTCAAAATCGATTTTACGTCACAGTTATAGTGAAAAGAATTTTATAAGGGCTGCAATTATAAATTTTTTTTTAAATACAACATTGAAGTAAAATATCTTAATGAAACTGAAGTTCACAACGTTTTTATAAACGAAAACGAAAAAATAATTAGATAATATGTATTACTTTGGCATAAAATTAAAGTTATTTGAAGCTAACTGGCTTTTATAAAAAGATTAATTTCTTAAAAGTTTGTGTAATTCAAAATTAATAATAAAATGACTTGAAAAAATCAGTTCTATTTTAATTTTTCGTTTTTAAAAACGTTGCGGACTT